TATTTCGCGAACATGTTTGTATTATTGTTCAAGTTCGTTCATCTAAAATTAACCATCTGAAATATTTTCATTGATAACATAAAATTCTGCTGGAGCCTTGAGGGTTCTTTGAACATACGATTTATTTGCGAAAACAAGACAAAGTAGTGATGAGTTTTTAAGTCAAATCAAAGCTAACATTTAACACATGTTGCTTTATGGTTAAACTTAAACTTGAAATTAATATGTGTAGATATTTATGAAACTTGAAGGATGGGCAAATTTTGACCCTCATATACTTCAAGATTTTGGCTCAAATGTTTTGGAAAGTTTTTTATGCTAGAAAAATGCGTCTGGATCGAAAATTCCTGTACTAATTTTAGCACTTTGATTGGATTATGGCCCGACTATAGAAATTTGCCAAAAAACTTCCAGCGGAATGCCAAACATGAAGATTATTTCGTGTTTTACATTATACGCTAATTTACTTTTTTTAATTAACGAAAACTTTTTAGTTTTGATGTCTATTTAATTAATAGCTATAATTTTCAATTTCAAATCAAATATATATATTGATTCAAAATAGAAAATGCGCATCAGTACCTATAAAAATTGGCATAAAAGTTTTTCCAAAAATATAATAGAAGTATTTAATTTACGTCACGCATGAAAAAATAACAGTTTCGCTGATTTAAGAGGGCGTGTTTGTGGACCCAAATTAATATCCAGTGTCCTGGACATTTTAATTTATGTCTTGATTTTGATATTGTGGCGCCAGTCAAGGTCTGGATTCATAAAAGAAAAAAAACTTGTTTTTTTTTGCCAGTTTTGTTTCACTTTTCAGGAATTTTTATGAATATTGCTCATGGTAAATTGCATTTCCTTTATTAGTCTTAGATGTAAAAAGCTATTAGACTTAATTAATTTAATTGAAATAAAGTCCCAGGTTAGTTAGAAATAAGGAACGTCATCACATGAATTATTAATTATTATTACTGGCTTTATTTGATTTCTAAAACATGCCTGTGGACCATATAAATATTTTGGCAAGCCAAAATAGCGTATGCAATTAGACATATTGTGGAAATTTATAATTAATTACCGGAAATCTATTAATAAAACAGATAAGCTTTTCATTCACAAAATATTTCCTATGAATTTCAGTAATAATCCCATACCTATATGTAAATCAGTAATTTTGCACCAGTTTAGACCAATAGAAAATATTTGAACATTTTTAAATTGCAATTTTACCTATTCAAAATTTCTGTTTTCATCAACATACCGAGTACTTAATTGGTTTTACTAAATGAATGGTCAAATTATTCTGGAAAGTCAAAGGCGAAATAGAAAAGCTTCGAGAAAAAATCTAGTAGAAATACAGAAAACTAGAAAAGAAGGTAGGTACCGACTGAAGGAAGAAGAAGTTCGAATCAATCAACTTCCAGCCAGATTCTAGACAAAATCCTCAATGATTTGCAGGTGGAGAAATGAATCAGTCGTTATCAACTATTAGGTACAACAAAATTTCGAAGCATTGGGAGACCATCTGCGAGATATACATTGAGCTACAAGTTCAGGGTTGTTCTAAAACAATTAAAAATCCCTATGAAAAAATCGAGCTCAAGTATGATGAAGATGTTCTGGAAACACTGGAATCCAAAATCCGAGGCCAGGATATTCCGACTCAAGCACCAAAACTATGCAATATCAGTCTTCCACAGATAAAGTTACCGTTTTTCGATGGTCAGTACAAAGAATGGTTAACTTTCCGCGTTCCTACTCCTTATGTCCGCAGGACAGCGTTTTACTAACAGACTCTGGCCGCCATTTTGCCAACGTTTCCAAGCATGAATTTTCTGTTTCTCTAGGAATCTGAGCCAACTTTAGTCACAAAGACCCGACAAATCCACGAAGTGCCACAACCAAAACCGATTATTTTAAGCCTTCAAAAAAACACTGCCACTAGACGGTAATAGGAATCTTTATCTTGGAGACACATGTGTCTGACACAAAAAATACAAGAACTGTTCCTCAACAAATCCATACAAGACTCGTAGCAATGGTTTGCCATAACCTATTCCTAAGACGGCACTGATCAAAAATTCAATTATGCTTGAAAGCATCAAAATATATAACCACATTCCTCTGGAATATCGATTGATGCTGGATGATGTAATGTTCAAAAAAAGTGTTAAAAAATTTCTCATGCCGAGGCCATAATACAATCTGCAAGAATTTTATACTGATGACTTTGACTTTTTTTAAACAAGTATGTTTTTGTCTTCAGTCTTTATATTTTCGTGTCCCATTTTGTGGTAAAGTGTTTTCTTGCCCTGGTCTCCACACTCCACAATAAATTAATTTTACAACTTCTGTATGAGTTTTGCTTTGTATACCTTATTACTCCATTTTGAAGAATAGGTATTATGTATATGTATATGTATATAAGGATGTGAGTTGCAAAAATCTCCCATCTTGTAATCTTGTAGGTATATACAGGGTGTTTGGAGGAGGGTTAGCCAAACTTGGTGGGTGTATAGTTAGGCCCATTTCGAACATATTTTATTGATACACTAGTGTCCTTAAGCTCCCTGTTTTTTTTTATATCATTGCTTTTGTATTATTCCCAAGAATTTTCAAAAATCGAGTTAAACGGTCCATTTTTGAAAATTCTTAAGAACAATACGAAAGCAATGATAAAAAAAAGGGGAACTTAAGGTCACAAGTGTATTAATAAAAAATCTTCGAAATGGGCCTGTTGCGGAAATAACCCACAACAACAATACCTATCCTCGATCTCTATTATTTACCATAAAAATAATATTCTAAAAATAGATGCTATTGCGGGACTATTTATCCTGTAAAACCGGCAACAACAACCCTTTGAACCAATAAAATTACAGGTTTCTTCATTACCTTATAAGGCAGTGGACCTTTCTCGCTGCTGTGATTGGTCAGCCGCCACATTGTTTTCTAGATTTTTGCGACCTGCTTCCCTGGCAGAGTCTAGACAACGCACATTCTTCAGTACTATTAGAACAAGCGAAGAGTTCGCACCCTCGCGCTCTCTGAATGCTCTCCAGGAGCAAAACCCCCAAAAACCCCCATTATAGTACGCGCGATTTATAGTAAAATACTACTCTCTGTGTCTCAAGGCTTGACATGGTCTATGTTATTGATGTAATTAACTCCTAATTGTTGCAAGTCACCTTGGACGAGCAAAATTCTCTCCTACGCGATTGTATATCGTTGTGTTTTCTTTTCATCTCAGTGGAAAATTCCCTAGCTGCCAGTGTGAATAGTGGTGATAAATGGAGTCAGTACAATTTTGATATTTTCTGAGCTACCTACCCCTAGTGCACCTAATATGATTATCAGACATGCACCAACTTTTGGCCTTGTTAGTATTTTGGTTGCGCTATTACTAAAAAAAAATTCCAAATGTTGCGCAGTTAAATAATGACACTGTATATGTAAATGGTAAATGTATATTTTTTTAAATTTATTGTGTCTTCGATTGTTTTTATTGGTATTATTATTATTGATTGTTTAATTATTTTATATACAGGGTGTTAATAAATAGTGGGATCAAACTTCTAGGATAAATAGTACCTACTCATTAAAATAAGAAGAAATAAGAAGAATAGCTCAAAAATCCCTTTTCCAATTTTCTTTTTCAAATTTGGCAGGCGATACCAAAAGGCATCTTTTGAGTTTTGACTGTAATATGACAATCTGCGAAAATATAAAAGTTTTAAAAAATATAGTGACATGTCAATTTTTTCTACTTTTACCAATGTAGTTGTCCTCTGGAGCGCCAATGGAATAATTACGGTAAATCTAATTGAATCAAGAGATACCTTTTGTTATTATTACAAACAAATTTGCCAAGTTTAAAGAAATTCGGGAAACGGACAAAACGGACAAAAACGATTTTTTTCAAACTTTGACACCCTATATCTCGAAAACTAAGCATTTGCGCAGCTATGTTTCTATCAACTTTTTTCTTATTTTAATGAGTACTATTTATCCTAGAAGTTTGATCCCACTATTTATTAACACCCTGTATACAGTGGTGAGCATAAAAAATGGGACACCCAATTTTTCCTATTGTGAAACGGGTTCACCAGCTACACCGTCGGTAATGACAGAGATTCTAATATTTGACGAAAAATCCGTTGACTGATTTATCCAAAATAGCGAAAAATGACCAGACCTGTCAGTCGGGTGTTCAACTTTTGCTCTGACTGGTTTGTGATATCTGCAGAAACATTACCAATAGGTAATGAGAATAATAATAAGCCAACAACGAAAAGTGACACTCAAACCACAAACAAAAAACAAAAAATTAGTACATAAATAAGAAAAAAATAGAAAACAAAAAAACATTTTAAAAGAAACGGATAAAGACATTGCTAACTAAGGGCATCCATAAGAGAATATAAAAAAGATAAAATACTACAAACAATCCAGAAAAAAAAAGAAGTATGAAAATTATTGGAAAGGAAAGCTTGCGAAAAGGGAAACACACTTAAAAAGTTATACAAAAAATCTATTCAAGATGAAACTCTCTTCCTTTATTTAAAATCGACATATTATATTTACTTTTATTATAATATCCGATCCTACTACAAGAAAAAAACATTTGCACCACCCTGTAATGTTACTACAGAATACTCATGGACAAAAAATAGAAATATTGTTATCTTCTTCAACTATGGAATGTGTCCAGTACATTTACTAAAAAAGGTTTAGGAATCTGAACTTGTTTGTTCACTATTTTTTTTATTGATATTTTTTTGAATTTAGATATCGCTGAATATATAAAATGAGATGGTGCAAAACTTTTTTTGTTGTGTATACCTATATCGTCCAAATTCAAGTATTCGTCCGACTATAAAATTTGGCAAACGGTATCCGCAAAAATAGTAAATATTTGCCTGATGAATGTGGCCACTGTAGCAAATCTAAACGGACGTGACGTCGCCGGCGTCCTACGTCGCGACGCCTCATAATCATCGTTTTTATATTATTTTTAAAACATTCCAAAACCGCCTGCGGGACTTATATTAAAAGGCGGACGTCCCTCAAAAACTTTTACAACATTCGAAACGCGCGACAGAGAAAGTTCCGAAAATTTAAATTTTCAGTTTGTGATTTTTTTTTTTGTGTTCGATTATTTGTTGTGAAGATACTTATATTATCAAGTAATTTTGGATAAGATGTCGGCCTGTGTTAATGAAAGAGTTTTTGAGGCAAGTAATTTTTAAATTTAATATGGTTTTTTCAAAAACTTCTAATTTTTAGTTAGTACCTATCATGAAAAATTTCAAATTATGAGTTTTTCTAGACAATAGAGCTTTATTTGAATTTCATAAAGTACTCAAACAATGGATTTAAGAATCAATCCTCATGTGAGCTAATTCAGATATAATCGAAACTAGTTAGATTCTATTTGCACTAGTTTATTGGATCTGCTTTAGGAAAAGTAAAAATTTTAAAATACTGAATTTTTTAATTTTTTATTTCAACCATTTGTATCGGAATCTCTCGGTACCTTCCTCTATAAGATAAAATTTTCAAAGATTTTAAATCAAAAATTATATCAATATGCTAGTTTTGGAGAAAATCAGTTTTTAAATTTTAGACAAAAATACTCAACTTTTGGAACCAACTCAATAACTTGTTATCAATATCAAATAGGTAGGTAGTAATTTTGTTGAGCCTATACCTATAGATAAATTTGAAGGAATTTTCCTATTACCAGCTTTACTTATTTTGACACATTACATTCCATCTCAGTATAATAAAAACCTTTAATTTTTGCATTTTTCGGAGAAAATTTTAAAATAACTTAATCCAAATCAAGCACATTATATGGTCGCATAAATATAAATTATATACGACATAATCGAATAATAAAATGTTTGCTTAAAAGGTCTTAGCTTATGACCAAAATTAACTGTTGCCAAAATGGACATTTGCGTCGGGAGCTCAAACAGGATTTGGCAATCAAATCAATTTTATTTTATATAAATACTAATAACGCATGCAAATACAGCTAAGGAATAATCAAGAAAGTTGATACATTATAGGAAATATTCCAGAAATAGGAGTCTCTCATCCAGTATTTCAAGCAATACAAGAATATATATAGAGGAATAAAAGTTAGAGACACTTGAAAATCTCAACTGGAAAGGCATATTTTTCACTTTTCTCCAAACTTTACCATAAAAGCCAATTTTACTTAATTTCAAAAAAGGTAGAAAATGATCTAGTTTGTGTTGAGAAAAGAGACTCAATTTTTCCTTGAGTTTCGAATGCGAAAAAAAAAATCCTAATTCTGGCCCCAGAGATTTATTTAAATTTAGAAAATCTAAATTTATACTTTAGGAATTTGGCCAAAGACAAGGTGGTTTGTGTCACCTGTTTGGCATAGGGCCAAAAAATGATAAAAAAGAGGTTCTTCCTGGTTAGGGATTTAAGAGGATTAACAACTCAAGTGTATAAATATAAATTTTCCAAGAATCGCTATTGTCTTTGCTTCTATGTATAGGTAGCCATTTTCAACGTCTATGGAAATTGAATAATCATGATCCTGTCCAATTTTCCTTCATATCAACAGTCCATTGAGAGTTGGTCTCATATTGCAAATATTGGACTTGCTGATGACCAGTTTTACCAATACTGTTTTGGGATATATTCTGATGGGAAAAGTTCGGTCTTCTTCTTCTAATCCGCAAATTTCAACTCTGTATTGTCACATCGAAAATTGTAGCTCGTTAGATGATCAGATTGCCCGGTTCTGGGAGATCGATGATGTCCCAATAATAGTCACTTGTCTTTCTCCTTATAAAAAACAATGCGAGAAGTTATTTCTAGATACCTATCAACGTGATAAGTCTGGACGATTCATCGTCAAACTACCCTTTAAAGATAGCGATCCTTCATTTCCTGGAGACTCTAGAGTTAAATCGATTTTATTCTCTCAAGCGTTCTTTAATCAAGCATCCGCAAATATATGATTAAAATACCGCGACTTTATTCAAGAATATTTGGATCCCGACCACATGGACCTGTTTTCGATTCTGTTCTCAACTCATTCTATCTACCACATCACTGTGTTATGCGTCCTGATAGCTTCACCACCTACCTAATCAATCAATCGCAGCTCTATGTTGGCCCTAAACTTCAAAATGATATAGTTACTATATTCTTCTCAATTTTCGACTTCATAACTTTGTTCTAACCGCTGATATCTCAAAGGCGTTCCGACAAACTTGTTGTCCATCCTGACCATCAAGATTATCAAAGGATTCTATGGAGATTTTCCACTTCTGAATCGGTCAAAGAATTTTGAATCAAACGATTAGTGTATGGTCTATATGTTCTTCATATTTGGCCATTCGAACTTTACTTCAATTGGCTGAAGAAGAAGATGACTTTTACCTGTTAACTGCTGAAGCACTTCGTATATACGTCAATGACATCGTGAAGGGAACATCTAGTCATGAGTCTACCCTCCAACTTTTAGCAACAGTTAGTCAATTTACTTCGAAGAGGAGAATACCGTTTCAGATGGCTTCCGATTTTGTGTCCAGTTTCCGGATACACCCTGTACAAAACGAAATCTCTTATCCAATCTTGCTCGAATATTTGACCCCTTTGGACTGCCTTCACCAGTTACATTTCTTATCAAACATTTTGATTCAACAAATTTGGAAATTAAAATTAAATTGGAATAGCGTTCCGCCTACTGATATTGTTCAACTTTGAGCTAAATTTAAAAATCTCCTATCAAAATCTCCTATCCTCTATCAGTTCCTTCAGTCTACCTCGTCTTCTGGTAACTGGAGCTAAAAAATCGTATCGAAACCCATTGTTTTGGTGATGCTAGTGAGAAAGGTTAATGCAGTGTTCTCTACTTTCGTTGTAGTAGTTGTTTTCTGAGTTCTGGAGATTTTATGTGCTCGAGTAGTCTGTTTTGTCTCTAATTAGTCTTATGAAAAGAAACTCCACATCAATATTTTTTGTTACACTGATTTTATGATTACTCATCTCAACTGGATCACTTCTCCCCCTCATCGCTAGCGCATTATTGTCAGCAATCGAGTCGCTTTTATCCCAAGACCAAGTGTCTCCATCATCTTGGTTTTATAGTCCTTTTAAACACAATCCTTCCGATGTTATAGATCTCGTGAAATATTACCCTCCGACCTAATCAACTGTAATTTATGGTGGGCGGCTCCAATCCTAATTACCCCGAATTTCCAAGCTTGGAACCAATCGAGTTTCCTGAAACTTCTGACGTTTACTTTGGAAGAAAAACCGACAGTCCAAGTGACGACAGTGACAAAATAAAGTGAATCTATTCGTGAAAATAAATCTATTCCCAAAGTTCAACGGTTCTATTCAAATTATCCCCTTTTATCAATCAACAAGGAATATTACGAGTGGGAGGTAGACTCCAACAAGCTTTTTTTTCGTACCTACGTTAGTAAATTTCCTGCTCTACTTCCCGGCTGTTGTACTTTAACTGATCTCATCATTCAATCAACTCATATCCAATATTCGTTGAAAATATGAAAAAATTTGCTTCAACTTGAGTTTTTATTTTTTTTTTTCTGATGATTTTCGATAGGGTTCCATATTTATTTTTTGACAGGTGATTAATACTCTCTCTATCAACCAGATATTTTTAAAACATCAATACTATGTAGATGACACTGAAAGAGTCGTAATTTTGTCATTAGGAGTCAAAGAAAACAGGAAATTAATGACGATGATTAATGGCCTCCTCTATGATAAATCCTATCAGGTTTTATAAATGTGTTTTCTAAAGGCCAGAAGCTCTAAACACAAATCTGGCTTATTACAAAAACCTTCTTATCGTCAATTAAACTAAAACTCTATTCTGGAAACATCCATCACTATTGTACCTCCTCAACAACTAACTATAAACTCAATGTTAAAACTGATTCAGCCGGTGCCGGGGCCGTCATCACATAAACCGCTTTCCTCTTGGATCCGATCCAAAATTCGGAAAATTCCAAAAGGCATCGAACACTTTCAATGTTGAATTGCAACACGTCCGGGTCATTGTCAAATATTCACCTTGTTTTATATTAAATGCGCATTGAAATAATCGTGCCAGTTTTTCGCTTTAACTGACCTAACTTAACTTCCGTGTTATTATATAATATTAATTATATTAAAATTTGTTCCATTATAGGATTCTCCATTGAAATCAAAAGTAGCCTTGTTCAATAAAGTTGCCGATAGTCACACTCAAAAGCAAGCGGTGAATCCGTTTTCCAACGACAAATGCGTTTCCAGCCTTCCAAGACCGAAATATTCCAAAGAAGATTACGGCAGGCCTGTAAAAGGATCTCTATCCGAACAAAGATCGTTCAAAGCTACTATTCAAGTTTGCAAGGAAATGCTCCAATTATGCGAAGTAATCACTCAATGCGGCGAGCCACTGTTCAAAGCTAGCGAGAAACAAGATGATCCTAGAGTGGTGATCAGTTTTGGGAATCTTTTTTCTGTGAGTAACTTGATAATAATAAAAAAATTAAATAATAAACCCACATTTTACAGATTTATGCAGGAATTTCTGATAAAGTAGTAGGAATGCTTATAAGAGCAAGGAAACATCAATTGCTGGAATTTGAAGGCGAATGTTTGTTCCAGGTTAGTACAAAACTTGTGATTTTATATAGTGAAAGCTGAAACTTATTATTTTTAGAGGCGTGATGATCATGTACCAATTATCCTAGTAAAATCTTATAAGCAAATTTACAAAATCCTTATGGACAAAATAGAAGTGGCTGCCAAACAGTTACGAGACAGCATAGCGCAATACGGCGAATTGGACACTAACAGTAGCAACTACATGTAATATTTAAATTAATTTATTACAATAACTGAGGACCACGCACTTTGATATTATTTAAACTGAACACATTGGATCGAGTATTGAGAAAATGGTGCACTTCAAGATCAATTCAATAATTATTCCATTATTGCACAGAGTAACTTTTAGTTTGTTGCACTTTGTAGGTAACTAATTATTGTAGGAATTGAGATGCATTATGCCCTATAAAGACAAATGAGTGATATAGGCTTAATAATAAAATTCAGAAAAATAGTATTATTTATTTATTTAGAGATTAATTGTTTAGGTGCAAATATTTTTTTTTTATATACATTTTATTTATTTGATTCTCGAGTCTTTTCAGAATGAGGCAATATGTTTTTCTTCATTTTTGTTTTATTTTTAAAATAAAAGTTATGTGAGTATAATGAGTTGTTTTATCGTAATTATTTGAATTTATTGCCTTTTTGGAATGAAAAGCTTAAGGGAATTAGGTACCTAACTGCCCTTAAAATGCATACAATTTCTCGAACTATCGTTTGGAAAAAGTTAAGTAGGTACCTACACCTTCCATAGCAAAATTTGAGACTTTCTCTAGATCGATTAGACTTGCAAAAATTCCAGGATTTATTATAGAAATATTAGGAGAAATGATAATGCGGCGAGCCACTGTTCAAGAGCATTCAAATTCACCCCATCTATGACGAAAGTTACCAATAAGGTTAGGTACCCCCTTTGGATTCTTATTTCAAAATCTTTAAGCTTTAATATCTTGAAATCCGTGAGAGATATTGAAGCAAAATTTTCGGGAAGTGTAGCTCTTATTTGGCTTTAGGAAAGAAGGGCCCGGTATTCAACCTTATTAATTTAATTGTAATTTAATAATACCTGCATCCACGTTTTCTCGTGTGGCAGTTTTAGGTCGCATGGCCATGTCGATTTCAGATGCATTGTAACGTAACCATTTGATAGAAAGGCCGACTTGAGGTGATCCAGTTCTTGCTCGAAATGTGGTTCGCAGATGTTACGAGCACGTTCTGTTAATGTTGTTATAATTCCACGTTTTTGCCTTGGATGGTGGTTTGAGAGTGCATGCAGGTACCTGTCTGTGTATGTAGGTTTTCAATACACTGTGTGGCTTAGTTTTCCTCCAGATTTCTTTATGAGCACATCTAAGAAGACGATTTCTTGGTTTTTCTCCTTTTCCATGGTAAATTCTATGTTCGGATATTGCTCGTTCAGGTGGCCTAGGAACTGGTTACCTAAGCTTCTCTTCCCCATGACTCCAAACCACAAAAGTATCGTTTACGTATCGAAGCCATACCTGTGGTCAAAATATTCGATAGCTTTCCTCTCGAAATCCTCCATAGCTTTCCTCTCGAAATGTTCCATAAAGAAGTTGGCTATGACCAGGCTGAGCAGACTTCCCATAGCTACACCGTCCGTTTGCTCGTAGAAACCGCCGTTTCACAGGAAGTGACTACCAGTGAGAAATGTCCCGAAAAGCTCAACTATGTCATTGGGGAAGGTATACTTGATATCAAGTCAAGAAATTCTATCAATGGCACTTTTGTGAATAGGGACACGACATTAAAGCTGACCAGGATATCCTTAGGATGAAGAATAATATCCCTAATTTTCTGGACAAAGTGAGAGGAATCATTGATGTAAGAGCTAGTTTCACCTACGTGCGGTTGAAGAAGCGATGCAAGATGTTTCGCTAGGTCCAGAGGCGTATTTACAAAAGTTCTCAGCTCCAAAAACAAATTTTCAAATTCCCATAATTAAATACCACATTAAAACTATTCTTCAATAAAACTCAAATATATTTTAAAGCTTACAACTTTTTTGTATTTATTTTTATTATTAAATATTTAAATTATATAAATGGAACTCAATCACAAGAAAAAAAGACACACTCAATTCTCTATACACGCTTAAAAATTAACCGAAAATGGCATTAAAAAAATATAATTTCCAAAATTAATTAACTATTTTATTTTTTTTTGGATAAGTTTAAATGCAATTTTACAATAATAATAATTATTTTCAACTCTCATACAATATACTGATATATACAAATTATCAATTAATTTATTACTGTAATTAATTAATCCCCGTAGCTCTACAAAATATTATTTTCGTTATTCAAATACAAATTGTTTAAAATGTATTAGTTTAGTTTTCCTTTTAATACAATACACCGTAGCACCATTTTATTTAAAAAATAGAAAATTAAATATTACAACGCAGGCATAGTGCCATGAAAGTACAAGAAAGTTTTAATACATTTTAAAACAATATTAATTTAGTTTGTAGACATACATAGTTGCAAAAATACAACAATGAGCGAATAATTATGTATAAATGTTAGCTTAGTTTTCATTTATTGATGAAAATTAGGTTCAATAATTTACTGGATGAATGTCTTGTGCAATTTAAATAGAACATAAAACACTTAAACGGAAATAAAAGACATACCCACAAGTTAAGACGAGACTAAAAATGCCTTACAAATTGGTACCTAGTTATATTTTTTAGTGCTTATTATTTACCTTTCTACCAGGTTTTTTTGAGTGTTTAGTAAATGTCTCTATAAGCTCGATAGTATTTTATAGCTTTAGTCAATATGGACCCTTGGTATAAAAAAAAAAAGTTTGGGCTTTCTACCAAGGGTATTATGAATATGTAGTCATCGTCTTAAATATATATTTTTTTTTCGGAAGGTGCAAGTCAAATTATGGTGCATCATTTCCCTTAAAGAATAATGCACTTTTTACGTTTAACTGGTTCTGGTGGTTCCAGCGCTGCCAGGATGGCTTCATCAAATACGTTTTTGAGTCCTTTTTGGGTGAGAGCCGAACACTCCACATATTTGACCGCTTTCAATTCCTTGGCTAGTTTTTCGCCTTGTTCGATCGATATCGGTTTCTGTTTGTTTTTTGCTAATTTTTCTATGGTGGCACCGTCGTCGCGTAGATCTACTTGGGTACCCACAAGTAGGAAGGGCGTTTTTTGACAATGGTGGGTTATTTCTGGTACCCACTAAAATATGTCTTTGACATTATAATGTAATATAACTAGAAATTTGTTTACCTTTTCTTTTACATTTTCAAATGAAGACGGACTGACTACCGAGAAACATACTAGGAAAACGTCTGTTTGTGGATAACTTAACGGACGTAGCCTGTCATAATCTTCCTGACCTATTTTAATTGAAATTATCCAAAATTAAACAAATATAGAATTTTATAATATGAATTACGATTACAATTTGATAACAAGGAAAGCTCAATTTGGAATCCTGTTAGTAAAGAGCTTTGTTATTTATTACCTCATTAGTAATAAAAAGTATATTTTATCCCTTTAATATACATAACTTAATAATCATAACTATAGATATCCTTTATGAATCTTTAATACAAATCAGGACTACAATAAGTCTCTTTATTAATTAATTAAAAACAATGGAACATAATTCAAATAGACGGTCATAATTGCTATTTTGTTCTTATCATTTATCAACGATAAAATTTTATGACTGACCACAAAAAAATGCAATTATTACTACTAACAGTTCCTGCAATTTTTCAGTGATTACAATACCACAAACATAACGGATATCTTGTGTTATATGTATGACAAATAAATTTCCTTTTTATTAGTCACTGTACTAATCTGCTAAACAATTAACGAAACATTTTTCCTGGAAAATAATCATGGCTTACCTGCTGTGTCAAACAAACCCAAAGTGTAGGGTTCGCCTCCGATCATAACAGTTACTGCGTAATTGTCAAAGACTGTTGGTACATATTCCGATGGAAATTTATTTGTTGTATAACTGAAAGAGACAAATATCCAATGAAAAAATTTGCAGGTAGTTATAGTAAGGGATGTAATATTTGTAATACATTTTTACAATATAAGTAAGAAGTTTTGGTTTTAATTGAGAGAGATTTTGAAAACCCATGGCAAAGTACAATGTATCTGTTTGAACACAAAAAAGCACAGTGAAAAATGCAATAATTTTTCAAAATTTGAATAAGAATTTATTATTTAATGGATAGGTAAAATACAGATCATTTCACGAAGGTTCATACTTTTGACATCGAACACGCCATAACTTGAAAAAAAAAAGGGTTGTCGTAGATTAATTCATATGACACATTCAATTTTTTTGACAAAATAAAATGAATGACTTCTGGTTTAAGAACCCACGAACGTTTTTGATGTTAAAAAAGGAAGGCAAAAAGTATGGACTCTCGTGAAACAAAGTTTACTTATTAGTCTCAATTGAACTATCTAACCAACAATTTCCGGTTAAATTTGTACACAGATTTTTGGGGATTCTAGAGAATTTCAAAACATTTTTAGGGAGTCAGAAAAATTGTCAGGGATTTCTGGCCACAAATTTGGGACGCATGCAATTCAAATAAGTCAGTACTGCATCTATGGTTTATTAGAGACTGCAAAGCATACTCTAATATTACTATTATTATGAATTATGATGCAACTAATAAAATAAAAAATGGTGTAAAATGAAAATGCAAAAACAAGATTCTCTAAGTTTTTAATCCTTTTTTAGAAGTTTTTGGAAGGGATATTGTGGCCATGTTCGTTTTTGTTATCTTTTTCTTCGATTTCCTCCGAAATTTTGACAGACACGTAAGTGGATCAGACAGTCAGATTATTATTATGGGTATCTGCAGTAGACGGAATAAATAAGATGAAACTGCTGAATCTATTGGAGTTGTTTAAAGATTAGAGATTTGTGGGAAGTCATGCATTGCTCTTGCCAAAAGAGCCTCTGCGGTCTTAATAGTCCTCCTGAAACGTAGTTGCCTTATACAGTATAGTGCACAAGGAATGTTGTGCTTTGGTTCTTCATTTCTTGGTCTAAACGGTTTTTGAACTGGTTCTTTGTTGTTGACGTGACAGTGTTGTTACCAAGACTGTTCCAGAGATAAACCACCCTGTTTGTTAGAAAGTTTCCTCTCATTAGCTTGTTACATTCCTCCTTGGAAAGCTTTAGATTGTGTCCTCTGAGATTGGTGTTTTGGTTGAGGTGGTAGATCTCTCTTGAGTCGCATGCATAGTGCCCATTCATTATTTTTAAAGTTTCAATGAGATCTTCTATCTTTTAGGGTGGTTAGGTCTAGCTGGGTTAATCGTTCCTCATAGGGCAGTTCATGAAGGTCTGGAGGCAGCTTAGTTATTCTTCGTTGTACTCTCTCAATTTGCTCTATGTCTTAAGCATAGTAAGGATACCAAATAGTTTGTGCATATTTCACTCTTGGCCTGAAATATGATTTATGTAGTTTTAGTATCATATCTTTGGAGAGGTCTTTAAACGATATTTGTATGAGGTAAATCATTGAATAGGCTTTTTTGGTCATTTGCGTGACGTGAGTTTCCCATTCCAAGTCCTGGGTTACAGTGATTCCTAGATCTCTTTGTTGTATGACAGGTGTTATTTGAAACTGTTCAAAAAAGTAATTCAATTTAGGGTTGTTCTGGCCAATATGTAGGACTGTGCATATGGAATCATTCAAGGGCATTTTCCATAGCTGTGTTCATTCTTTGATATTCTTTAGGTCTCTCTGAATAGCAGCATGTTGTGAAAGTGGATTTCCATAAATGTTTCCATCATCGGCAAAAGATGCATTTCTTGTTTCCAGCCTAGATATAGATCACTTAAATAGGCAATAAAGAGTAGAGGACCGAGAACTGATCCCTGTGGTACTTCATTATGCAATCTGTGCTCTTTTGGAAGTGATGAACCCACATGCACCTGAAAAGTTCTTCCTATGAGGAATCCTTCGATCAACTGGAGTAAATTGCCCCTAACTCCAACATGTTCGACTTTATGGATTAGGAACTGTGTTGGTATTTTGTTAAATGCTTTTTGGAAGTCAAGATAAATCACATTGATTAGTTCGTGATTGTCATCTGACAGTGTTCAGTGGTTGAGTCTTGTTAGGAGATTTGTAATCGTCGCTTTCCCGGGAAAAAAGCCGTACTGCTGATCTGGTATGACTCGTGTGTCCATGAAAAATTGGGTGAGCTTTTTTGCGATTATTTTCTCTATACATTTGCACAGTGTACTCGTTAAACTAATAGATCGATAGTTTTCTGCATGCTGTTTATTTCCTTTTTTATAAATAGGCGTCACCACTGCTTTTTTCCATGCTGCAGGGAATTCCCGTGTTCTTGCTATGTTATTAAGCATGTCAGCTAGTGGCCCTTTTAGCACCTGGGTTACAGTTCTTGAGGAAGACAGGAGGGATTTCGTCAAGCCCTGGATTTGATGATAGTTTAAGTGATTTTACTGCAGTTTCAAATTTTTTCAGAGTGAACACAATATTTTTTAATTCGATTTTAGCATATGCATATGGTAGTGAGGGTAAAACCGTATTCGAGTTGAGCACTGTGAAAACTTTTTCAAACTCTTCTGCAAAACACTTTGCAATATCTTGATTTGATGTTTGTGGTTCTTGTGTTGTTTTATCAAATAGTTTGAAGGACTACTCTAGTAGAATAAGTGGTCACTGTTGTAACTCAACCAATAAAGTCTTAAAAGATCCTGCTAGTTTGGATTAATATGCCCCTAACTCCCAGAGTACTTAAGTGAGTATGCAACATCAAGCTAATACAGATATCACTGCCATCTTTTGACGGTGCTCTAGAATACCGACTCAGATTGGGCGGTAGAGGAATCAAGGGTTGAAAAAATCAAAAACCTTAATAAAAGTCAATTAACATTTTGGATATGGTATCACTCTGATCTTTCAACAGGGACTTAAATACGGGAGAGGGAGATAAATTATTCTAGAAAAATTCCTTGAATTGGTGTTGCAATCAGAGGGACGAAGGGTGGTAAATATCAAAAAACTCAATAAAAATTAAGTTTTTATCTTTTTTCTTAACTTCTTTTATAATTTTGAATAGGCAATTAGGTTCTAAGAGATCGAGGGTTTTCTCAAAATTTTGGATGTGGATGACAATAAATGTTATAATGACCATGTAAACTTTAAATTTCAGAAGTTACTTTTGTGTTTTGTTGAGGTGCCATCCCAATTTGTGATTCAACAAAAACAAAAAAAAAATTAATTAAATCACAATATCCAATATTATTACTTCTTGTTAAATGGACCAATTAAAATGGAGAAAACATATTTATGCTATTTTTTGCATGCATACATTTTAACGGTTCATTGTGATAATTATTTATCAACAAAACTACACAAAAACAATAATCTATCAACTTTTAATTGAATAAATAACGTACATGCGTACTTTCCCAAGGATTTAATTTATTAAATTCAATGCAAAATAACTTTTACCGGTACAGAACAGACATAACTGTAGATGTTTTCTTTCTTTGAAATGGTTAAAACTAGGTTCCTAAGTACTTGTTTTTTAATCAATTTTAGGAGACTCTTTTTGACATTTTTTTTTTAATGGCCAATGGCCGTTTCCACCAACTACTTTAGGGAAGCTCTAATGATAAGTATTCCCTAAAATGACAGTTTTCCATGGAGAAATGTCAGTTTAAGGAATACTTATTCTTAAGGCTCCCCTAAATTAGTTGGTGGAAACGGCCATAATACCTATGTAATTTTTTCAGGGTTGGCAATAGTATATTGTTTTATTAGGAGTAAAAATGATTGTTTTTGCGGCGAGACTACCTAAATGTTTGAAAAATATAGATTAAAAACACAAAATATCCAATTTTATGATACAATTATTATCCGGATTTTTGCATGGCAGTAAGCACTCTTTTAATGTAACTACAAAAATTCTTGTGTTTTAATTGAGTATAAATAAATAAATAAATAAATAAATAAATAAATAAAACCTGGATTTTTTAAAAACTGAATGACTGCTTCGAGTTATTCTTCTTGCAATATTTCTGTGATTTTTTCTTAGAGCAGGTAATTTCCTAGGTGGGAGGAGTAGGAACATGAAGTTGGAATTTGAAGCCGTTTTTTTCCAGGTATTTTGAGATGCAAAATAATGGCAGTATAGCTAATTTAATGCTTTACCTGTCATTTGGTGTAAAAACACCTGCTAAAAACAGGCTTCACTTATGTTTCCTAAGAATGGCGAGTTCCTACTCCTGATGTCTGTAGGACAGTGCTTTACCTGCTCTAAAGATTTTTTAATAACCTTCAATTGTGTTGATTGCAAAATGACTATTTTGTCAACAATTATTTGTTATGATTATAAAAGTACAACTCAATTTGAATCATAATTTGTATGTACTTGATTTTGCATTAGATAAATAAAGTTTTAGGCCTTCAATAAGGACTATTATCAAACTATTATCGAATTAATCTTGTTTATTGTAAAATAAAGTTCTAATTTATTTGAGTATTATGAAAACGATAATCCTAGAATTAGTGCATCTTGCATCACGTTCAGAGAGGTACTTATGTTATGGAGCCTCAGAACTATTGAAAAATGTATATTTACAAAATCTTTATCAACTTACCTAATGAGCAAACAAGTTTTACCCACTGCCCCATCACCAACCACTACACATTTGATGGTCTGCATCTTTTTAAGCCTCAATAACCCTAAAAAGAAACAAATCCTATTTCTTATCCACACTTAATACAATAAAATTCAAGCTCGATACGATAGAAATAGAAAATTACAACTGCATTATCTATTTTGGGGTCTTAACTATCTATCGAAGGTATTTTCATCAGATTGCTGCCATTTTTAATTCACCTAGCGTAATTTCAAATGCGAGCCGGACCTACTTTACAATCGTATCGGAGAGATTGAAATGGTTTTACGCTGCGTAACAGTTAATTCTGAATGCTAATTAATAACATTTACCTGTGCTGGATAATAAAAATGCTAGAAATTCCGAAGTTTTTGGGTTGGGTTCCCTGTATTTTCACTTAAAATTGTCACCAATCATCTACCACTACCAACAAAACTTCAAAGAAACTTCACATTTTCACATCATTGTGAACTAGCGCCATCTAGCGTTGATTTCCATTACTTCGAATTAAAGGACCTAGCAAAAGGAGCAACCTTTTTTTTTGATATTTTTCCGAACCGACTCCGAACCAGCTACATAAAATCTGTTTTTTTTTAAAGATAAAAGTCAAAATGACATTATTTTGGCAATACAATGTAAAATTGTCAATGCATTCAAATTTTTTATGTAGCAAAGGTTTGTGTTGCCAACATAGTTACTAAATTTTTGACTTGGGGAATTATCTTTAAAAAAAAAACAAACTTTAGGTACTATTTATTGTAATAATTTAACACTACTTTTTAAACATTTCTTGATCTGCTTAATTTATAAACTGATTGTATTTTCTACTAAAAAGATTCGGAATGTGAAATGGAAATTTTCAGGCTCATTTTTTAAAATTCTTATCAAATCCATAGAACGGATAGAACAGTTCCGTATCGATTCGGAAACGATTCTAGAGGTTTGTATTTTGTGTTGGTCAAAGCAGCACTTCCTGCTTTGGGGCGTTCGTTTGTGTTAATAACAATGAACTGACGAACGCTAGTTAAATTGTTTACGTCACAAACTTGGAATATTTTGCGCTCGTGGGGGATTCTCATCCTCTAGTCGCAACCTATCGTCCCGACTATCCCATTAGTTCTTTTCACTTGGCTCCGGTTTAACTAACCAGGTTACAAAACGGTTAGAGAAATGACATACCGTTTTCTAACCCGGTTACAAAGTGATGTTATGGATACCTACCACTCGAATTTGAGCGGTATGTTATCGTTTGTTAAACCGGAGCCACGTGAAAAGGGTTACTGCCTTTCTACGGGTGAGTCGGGACGATAGGTTGCGACTAGAGGATGAGAATCCGCCCCAGTTCAAGTTAGTGTGACACAAACAAACAAACCTTAAATAGATGATCTGCAAATAAAGACAACAAAAATAAGAGCTGCTTTCTTTTCACGGTCTTGGGCGACCCAGGTCGCCCTGGATCACAATTTTAAAATGTAAACAATCGTTCTTTTTATGGTGGGTTTATAAAAAAAAATTAACACTTAAACTAAGAATTAACATTTACTGATAGTTAAAGTTATGATATGTAATATAGCGGTTCATAAAAAAAAAATTAGGACTTCTCTATGGACTCAACTAGAATTAAGAATACATAGGCGCACCTTGAAATTCTTAAGTTGTGAGTTAATTTTCTTAAATTAGTTTAGTGTTAATTTTTATTTATTAACCCACCAATAATCGCGACGTCAAGCCCCGGGGTTGTTTATACTCAGCGATACTCATATGGCGTTTCCGATTGGTAGATTTAGTGCGGAACTCCTCTATTTTTTTTGATTTCTGTCTTTTGATTTTCTTCTACAGGTTGATTGAAAGGATGCAAATACACTCAGTGTGCATTGAAACCAAGGATGATACACACCTACAAGGATTGCTTATGGGCCTTGTTTTTGGTAATCTCCGCCATATTGGTATGTTACCATTTCTGACGTCATATAACTAAGTCGTCAACTGTATAAACAGCCTACGTCAAGGCGAGAAATAGCATGCTGCCTACGTCACAACTGGTAATTTGGGGCGGGGGGTTAAGGAGAGGGGGAGATTTATTAAAATTAATCAATTTTCAAATCAGCCTATTTTACTATTAAAGTGAATAAATTTCTTGATTAGGTGGGTTCGGCTTGCTCATTCCGTGCACTCTGAGTGACTCCATTCGCACTCCAGCCGTTCGGATATTGCTTTTTCGCGTATTAGGGGTGACTCCATTAGCATTCGACTATACGGAGTGGAGTAAATGGAGAACACTCCAAAAATTCCACCTTGGAAAGAGAATTTTTTAGAGTAAGCATGCGTAGAAGTGAAATGTGGAAACCTCAGGGGTGCGTTCGAAATCACCCTGGGCGTCACACCGAGTGCACACCAGGGCCGAGTTCAGAAATAACGCACAAGGAGCGAGTGCGATTGGGCCCATAGCACCGTTTAGCATTTTTGAACAGCTAGGGCGTCGCACCGGTGTCACACTCACACTGGGAGTGTCATTCCTGAACTCGCCCCAGCTATGAATTTTTCATGGCTGGTGTGCACTCGGTATGACGCTCAGGGTGATTTCGAACGCACTCCAGAGGTGGAAACTGTTATGTCAAACTTGTTGGTTGTGGTGGGCCTCTTTCGATTTTTTTTTTAAATTGATTTTTATTAAATAAATGCACAGTGACCTCAGTAAAATTATCAAATTTCTACTACTATTTAACTAAAATTATCAAATTTCTACTACTATTTAACTACCCTATCTTCATCAAATTATCATCAAAATAAATTTCCTTGACAAAGTTAAACAGAGGCAAAGACTAAAGTGAAAAAAAAAATTAAAACTGGAACTGTTGTAGGTCATTCGTGTATTAATTTTTCACACTAATCATTCCTAGATCACATGACAACAAACTCCACTTCAACTCCGTGCTGAATAGCCGAACCCAGCTATTAGTAGTATATTATTAGAGTGGTTCGAACAGTAACAATCGGAGCAGTGCAAACAGAACAGAGTTAGTGCAGATGAAACAGGAATTAAGCCTAGAATTACAGAAGCTCTGCAACACCAAGATACAAATGCAGGACCTGGAAGTCTGATTTTTCGTATTACAGAAGCAGAATGCATTTGCAGGTCGCCTGCAAATTTGCGCATGGTTGCAAGTCCTTGCAATCACTTTGACAACTTTGACATTTAGAACTGGTAAATCAGTAGCGCCCAAACACTTTTTTCCGATAAATATGACGAAATTGCAAATTTTTCCTGTAAGTTGCTCGTTTCTGCAAATAGAGCACATATGCAAGTCGGCCATATTTGCAGATCTGCAAATTTGCAGATGCAAATATACTGTAATTTGGCCCTAAGCAATTGGAACACCTAGAGTAACTCGAACTTTGAATATTATGCCATGCCGGCTGTAGCCATCCGATAATATTTTTTTGGCAAAGCGTATTGAATGCAAAACTCAGTGCCGTGAAATATAAAAATTCTGCCCGAACTGTTCCAATTATCAGAAATTTGGCATCGTTGTACTTGGTCAATGAAATTCTGATAACTGACATCTGGCCATTGTTTTTGTATTGTGGTCTGTGTGTATTGTGCGGCTTCTTGTCCTTGCTCATTCATGTTGCTCCTTGTTTGCTTTCCTACCTTTTAAATTTTAATTGTGGAAAATTGCAAACTCTTGCTTTTTATTTTGTAATTATCATTGTACCTTCAAAAATTGTATATTTCAAAGGAAAATGTCCAAAGAAACTCATATAGATCGCGATTTAGATTTGTCTAATGCAAATCGAGGCGTTTGGCTGGTGAAAGTTCCTAAATATGTGGCGAGTCGTTGGGAAAAAGCTCCCAGCGATATGGAAGTAGGAAAACTGAAAATAACCAAGTAAACTACCCTTTTGTACCTTGAAAAAATGTATATCTGTAATTTATTAAATTTAAGACAACAAGGGCAAAAACCTCAAGTTGCCTTGTCCCTTTCCACTCCAATATTGGCCCTGAACGAGCCTGGCGAGGGCAGCATCCCTAAAGATCATAGATTAGATGTTTCTACAGTTACTCAGCAAACTTTGGGAGTTTTTTCTCATGTGATACGTAAGTATCTTTATGAACAGAGCTGAGGTACTGAGAAAAATATTCTCGAAGTAAAATATCCAGTACTTACTTAAGTACTATCATAGAGAGAGTACTTACAAAAAAATAATCAATACAGTTTCAAAAAATTACTTGTAGGTATACTACATAGTACTTAAATTTGGCAATTTATTTCAAGTTCCTACCTACTTAAAAAGTACTTGAAGTATTTAAACTATTTCAAGTACTCACTTATTATTCAGTATTTTATTTAAGATAGGTATATAAAGTATTTATTTGGTTTTTTTAATATTTTCTAAGGAATAATTCTTGTAATAGAAAAAATCTAAAAGAACTGATAATGTATTGCTATACAGGTTGAAGTGCACTTTTATAAGTACTCAAATGCATATGAAACATACCCTAAATACTATATAATGAAAATAATTATGTTAATCTTACTTAATACTTTAAGAAAGGTTCTCAAAGTTAATAGGTGGTCTGGTAATGGGTAACTTGATGACGCATCTGAACCTTGTACTTTAAGTACATTTGCTGAGTGCTTAGCTCAGCTCTGTTTATGAATACATTATTCACCAAATAAAGCAGTTCATTTGTTGCCTCTAACCAATACCAAAGACACCAATGAGCTGATCAATTTTCAGCTGAAAAAACTGATTCAGTAGTTCCTGAAACTGAAAAACTATACATGGAAGGCAAAATTGTGCAAAAATTAGAGTGCAGGCCTTACGCAGATACTTGTTACATGAAACTTAAATTAGAATCAATTAAAAAGGCCTCAATGCCTACTAGAAAAGTTAAACAATTGGACAGAGTTGTGCAAAGCTATAAGCCAGTGTCAGACCACAAAAACAATGTAAGCTCAACAAGCATTATTAAAATAAAACTTTTTATTCAACTAATAATTGTTTCAGATTGAGTACATGGAACGTAAAAAAGCAGAAGGCAAAAAGGCCCGCGACGACAAAGACTCTGTCTTGGAAATGTTGTTTTCCGCATTCGAAAAGCATCAATATTATAATATTAAAGATTTAGTGAAAATCACAAAACAGCCAATTACGTACTTGAAGGAAATCCTAAAAGAAGTGTGCAATTATAACTTGAAGAACCCTCACAAGAATATGTGGGAATTGAAGCCTGAATACAGGCATTATAAGCAACCTGAAGCTGAAGCAAAGAAAGAAGAATCTGATGATGATTAACTTAAGTGTCAATATTTTCAGTTATTTTGTTTTTTAAATTTAATATATTATATCAAGCAGGAAAAATACAAAAAAAAATACCTATATTTTAATTACTTAATATCAAATTTATTGTTTCTGAGCATTTCTAAGTGTTTTCATAATCCCACTCAAAATATCTATAGCCTCTAAATGCAATGGATTGTTCTTATCCAACTGATTTTGCAAATTACTAATAGCCAAAGTAAACATTTCAAATTCGGGCGTGCTTTCTTGAAGCCACACTCTGGGTAATACTTGACTGATCAGCCTCACTTTCAATCCTGCATCAGTTAGAGCACAAAACTTTAAAGCACTCAACAAATATCTATTCAACAGACATGTTAGTGCTAATTGTTTAAGTTTAGCTTCATTAATAATCCCTTGCCAACTTGTGATGTTTTTCAACAACTTCAAACCGCTGGCAAATTGTCTTTGAAAATATTGATTTTTACTATCAGCTATTTTTGGAGTTACTGGAATGAAAACGTCATTGTCCAAAGCCAATTTCATTTTGTATAAAATAGAGTTAAATAAATTATTTAGGCTTTTGCTTTCAGGCCCTAAACTGGGATATTTCCGTATAAATCTTCCTACACAGCCAATGAGCCTTAAAGTTTGAGAACTGGACAAAGGATCCCAACAATTATCAACTAACTTGGTTAATTTTGGAACTAAAACTTTTTCTACTACTGTTGGTAAAAGAGTAATATCAGGATCCTTGGCTAAGCTGTTTTCAGTTTCATCATCGTGCAATCCGTACAAGGCCAAAGTCCTATACCAATCCATTTTTTCTATTTCATTAGTTTCATTCAAAGGATTCCAAAAAATTAATTTTAATCTTATCAAAGGACTTACAACTTTTGGTAGGCAGAGTGAAGCATAAGCCTCATTATAAGCTAAAGGATCCTTACTTCTCCAATGTTCAAATCTTATAAGAATGCTTACTATTGAAGAATAATCTTCAACAACATCCTCAAAAATTTCTTGCAACTCTTGCTCAATGTCTTGCTTCTCTTTATCAAAAAATAACAAGTCTTGCTGGGACATTTCTTCATCGCTTGACATGCCTTCTACATGTTTAGCTATTGCAGGAGTACTAGATGCTTCCCTAGCTCTCCTACGCCTGGATCTTCTGCCTTCTCTTTCTGCAGCTCTACGAATTTTTTCTTCATCTTTTATTATTCCTTTGTTGGTAGCTTCATCAGCTTGATCTCTAACATCTTGCCTTCGGCGCTCAATAAGAAACTTTGACATGGCTGCCATAACATCTAAAGCTCTTTGTTCCAAGGTGGTTATTCTACTGATTTTTTCATCTAAACATTCCACTAAATCAGTAATGTAGCCTCTTAGTTCTTGGTAAAATCTAAATTTGGTTGCTGCTTCTGGTGCTCTGATTTTCAATTCTTCAAGTTCTTCTGTTGATTGTTCAATGTCTTCATGGAGTTTTTTCAATTTTAATAAATTATCATCTCTGGAGTTACATACATCTCTATAATGTTCTCTCAATTTGTCTGCTATCATTTCTGGTGTTCTAGGAATATCAGGGTCTATGAGGGGAGGTTGAGCTTTAACTTTATTTTGAGCTTCTTTTTCTGCTTGGTATTCTGCTAACATCATATCTTGAGCTGCTGTCATTGCTGCCCCAGTCACTCCTTTACGAATTTGCTGATCTTCCCACTCGTCCAATTCATGGTCAGATTCTTGAGCTTGCATAAATTGTTCCCTGCGCCTGTCTTGCTCTTTTTTAGCTAAATTTATGTTCATATCGATTCTCTCTTCGTCACTTTCTTCATTATCATCATCTCTCACTAGACGACCTGTGTCCTCTGGCTCTTCATCTTCAACAGGAATAAAGTCCCCCATTTCTCTAGCCCTTTGACGTTTTTTTCTGGCTGCATGTATCATTGCCGCATCTGGAATGGCACCTGATTCTAGAACCTTCTTGACGTTTTCTGGTTTGGAAAATCTGTGTCTGGTTGGTGCAGATTCTTCTTCTTCGTCGGAAGATAGATCATCTTTGCCTGAAATTACAAATTAAACCAAAATGTGAGTATATATTTTTGGTAAAGGTGATAAAATTACCTGCACAAAGAGCTTCTCTGCCAGTTAGAATGGGTGGAGGAGGCGTGGGTGGTTTCTTGTAATTTTGATTCACAACCAAAACTAAATCGTCTGTAACCACTTCGGTTTTTTCTTCCTTGATTTTCGGTTCCTCTTTTTCGTATTTGTCTTTGCCCTTCTTCTTTTTTTCCTTCTCAAACATTCGCATTACTTTTTTGTGGTGAGATGATTTTTTTACCTGAAATTTTTGAAAGAAATTCAAGAGGAACTATTTGATGGATAATATTTAAATTGCTTTTATGGAGACATGAGTTTATATTACCTGAAAGACTTCGCCCTCTTCCTCAGTCTCAAAACTAAGCAAAGTCTGTTTTGGTTTCTTTTCTTTGTCCTTTTTCTTGGGTTTTTTGTCGTGCTGGCGAATTTCTTCGACTTCCATGGGCTCTCCATCTTCTTCGTCGTCGTTTTCAGTGAATACTCGCCGCTGTACGATGTTTTTTTTCGGTTTTCGGAAAAGGGACATTGTTTTGTTTTCTCATTCGTTTTTGCAATCAAAAATCAAAATTTATTTTGAGGTTAACCGGTAAAAGTTGCTCTTCTTTTTGCGAGAAATGGCTGTTGTAACCAATGATTGTTACTCATATCATTTGTATATATGATACACACTGATCTAAGGGCGGGTATTATAAAACTACTTTGAGAGTTAACTTAAAGTTAACTTCTGGAATTACATGTAATTTAAAAAGTTAACTTCAAGTTAACTGTCAAAGCAGTTTTATAATACCCGCCCTAAATCACACTACTACTACAGAATGGCATCATGACCTATCCTCATAAAGCGCTTACGAGAAGCCAAGGATGATACACACCTACTAGGATTGCTTATCGGCCTCGTTTTTGGTAATCACCGTCATAATGATGTGTTACCATTTCCGACGTCATAACTAAGTCGTCAGTCGTCAGCTATTTAAACAGCCTACGTCAAGATGAGAAATAACATGCTGCTACGTCACAACTGGTGATTTGGCATGGTTGGGAGGGTGGAGAGGGATTTGTTACACACAGGCCCTATGAGGATAGGCCATCCTGTAGCGTCCATCCTCTTCTGGTTTATCGTTCTTGACCATTGTCGACGTCATTAACTAAGTCGTCAACTGCTTGCACCAGCGGTCGTAGCTTAGAATTTTTAATGATGAAAAATATTATTTAATTTTGATTAATACAATAGGCAAACAGGAAGATGCAAACAATACCTATCTGAAAAAGAGTTGTTTTCGAATGTTAATTAATGTAGTAAAACCAAGTATGCATAAAGCAAAAGCCTGCGGAATCATAAGTTGTATTCCTTTCAAGAGTTTAGAACACTAGGGCTACTCGCTCCGGTGTTAGTCGACCCCGATTTGAAAGAAACAGATGCGCTGGCTTTCGTGCATTAAATACAGGTTGGACCATATAAGTCCGTTTACATTTCAATCGAAGCCGTTGAAAATTTCCGCTCCAGTTGCAGTAGTGTCAAAATAGTCAAGGATCGCATATGGATGATGTAATTTTTTAGAAATAGAATCCCTATCTGTGTACTTTCGTAAGAAATAAACATTTTTTTCTCCCATTTATCTAGTCATTGTTTGGAAAGTGAAAAAACTTTTGGTTCACCCTGTATTGAATGGTTTGAGTTCGGGCTTGATTATAGGTGCAACAAACACTTTTCGAAAGGGAGTATTAAGTTGTATTCGTTTCACACCTAGGCTAGGAGGAACTCCGAGCTCCGGTCCCTATTGTCGAAACAGGGGTCGTCGCCCATATTCATATTTCCATAAACAAAAGCAATCTTTTTGATGAGGACGCTGTTCCTCGGTTTTGAGAAAGTTCATTGGTTCTAGCCGATTTAAAAACATGCATTAATTTTTCGCGCTTATTAGCGCGAGCCGGCGCTGGTTACCGGTAAGCGGAAACCTGCTTGCACTGTGTTTGTACCAATGAACTATAACCAAAAACTGGAATGCGAACACATATTGACGAACGTGAAGCCTAGTGCCGCTGCTGCGGAGGGGATACCTGTTTTTGTCGCACTCATTACGTTAAATGGTGGAAATTGCTTCCAATACGTATTCCAATTGATGAAACCTGTGTGAAGGTAAATATGACAAAACTTTCCAAAACGTCATATGTCAGCGAGCAACAGATAAAAACAACATTTCCCTTTGTGGCATCTGTCTTTCATGGCTACATTTTTTTGGCAGATATGGCAATGTGTGCGCATGCCAGTTTTTGACTATTAGGCAATTCAAACACGTGACATTCAAGATGGCGTGGCGGCCACACATGGGCCAAAAAACACAAAAAAATAGCTAGTTTCTGCCCGAATTAATAGTTTAGGTACCTAGTCAACAAATATTTTATTAAATAATGAAAATCAAAGTTGTAAGCAAAACTGTATGCAAAATAATTTAAAATACGCATAAAAACATATTCAAAACAAACTTGTTTGGCCGCCACGTCACATTGAATTTTCCTTTTTGACAGATGGATTGAATTGCCTAAAGCCTAGTCTCCATGGACGCGAAATCGCGAATTTTTTTTTGCGGATATTTTCCGATTGGTTGGAATTTGACATTTAACATTTGATTTTTTTATGGCGGGAAAAATTCGCGAATTTTTTAACTTCTTGCGGCGTCGCAAAAAAGTTAACTATTTTTTAACTTTCCGCGAAATTTCGCCAAAAAAAAAAAGAGGTTATGTGGTGTTACTTTCAGTTTAGTTTTGTTTATGTTTTTGTCGGTATGTGCTCTGTTCTGTGCTCTGTCCTCTGTGAGTCGTTGATGTGTTTTGTACTTGTAGATACCTAATAAAGAATGGATACTGCCAAAGAATTGAATATTGTAGACCCGAAAACAGACATAAATTACAGCTTGCTGGTGGATGAGGAAGATTATAATAGGGCCTTAAATGTAATTAAGACAACACCAAGACACATATCTTTTTTTGTTTTTTAGTAATCACTTTCATGGTTTTCAAAGATTAGTGTTTGAAATTCAAAGCATTTAAATCGAATTCAAATTGATTACAAACAAACAACACATAGGTAACCTTAACCTGTTAAATAAAACGCGAATTTCGCGCTTATGGAGACATGGGAATAATTTGCTCGGAAATAGCCACCAAAAAATGACACTTAAAAAATTCGCTTTCTGCGATTTCGCGTCTATGGAGACTAGGCTTAATAGTTCATTCAAAGGTTTGTACCAATGAACTATAACCAAAAACTGGAATGCGTACACATATTGACGAACATGAAGCCTAGTGCCGCTGCTGCGGAGGGGAAGCCTGTTTCTGTTGCACTCAATATGTTAAATGGCGGAAATTGCTTCCAACACGTATTCCAATTGATGAAACCTGTGAAGGAAAATATGACAAATCTTTCGAAAACGTCATATGTCAGCGAGCAACAGAAAGAAACAACATTCCCCATTATGGCATCTGTCTTTCATGGCTACATTTTTTTGGCAGATATGGCAATGTGTGCGCATTCCAGTTTTTGGCTATAGTTCATTGGTTTGTACACTATAGGGGTACAGGGCGTTACGCGCTTATTCCTTTTGAAAAGTGTTTGTTGCACCTGAAGTGCTCAAGTCCGAACTCAAACCATTTATTTCATGTTAAGCCATCGCCTCTGTTCCTTTCAAATCGGGGTCAACTAGCACCTGATCGAGTAGCTCCAGTGTTCTAAACTCTTTATGGCCGTTTCCACCAACTATTTTAGGGAAGCCCTAACGATAAGGGAGGATTTTCATGCATCCGTTTTTCCGACGAAATATGTCCGTTTCACATTCTATTCAGACATAATCGTATATAAATATGTCAAAATAGAAGACTTTTCGGACATATTTCGACGGAAAACGGATGCATGAAAATCCTCTCTAAGTATTCCCTAAATTGACATTTCCCCATGGAAAACTGTCAGTTTAGGGAATACTTATCGTTAGGGCTACCCTAAGTTGATGGAAACGGCCATTAGTGTTCTAAACAGGCCTTATGAGATTAGGCTTGTAGTACTAGTGTGTATTACTGTGGTATTATCCTCGATCTATTCCCTGTTAGCATAACATAACATTTTTGTTAAGTTTAACGTAAACTTTCAATCATAGGACCCTATGTTTGATTATCCTCGCGAAAAATTGCCTAATATTTTTATTAGTTACAGAGTCCCAGCCCAGGACACCTACCTCTTTTAAAACAACTGTGATCCAAACGAAGGATAGCCTATCCCCATAGGGCCTGCGTAGGTCAAATCTAAAGCTCCCCACTATGCCAAAGCACCAGTGATGACGTAGAAGCGTGTCGGTTCTCGCCTTGATATAGGCTGTTTGCACTACGGATGGCGTATCGGCACCGCTTTCGGTAATCGCCGCCATAAAGCCTTGTACTCATAACTGCGAAATTCGCATTTTTTTGACATTGCTTCGACAATTTGACGTTTGATACACGCATGAAACGTCAAATTGTCAACGCAATGTCAAAAAAATTCGAATTTCGCAGTTATGAGTACTAGGCTTATGCCTAGTACCCATAGCCGCGAAATGCGGATTTTTATTTTGCGGATGTTTTTCTATTGGTCGAATATATTTAAAACTGTCAAATTTAAATAAAATTGACCAATAGAAGCTTGGAATTTAAATTTATGAAGAAAATTATTATTTAATTTTAATTACCATAAGGACATGTTGTCTACGTCACGTGGTGGGGGGCTTCAGATTTGTTCCACACAGGCCTTATGAGGATAGGCTATCCTGTAATGTATGTGGTCGTAATGAGTCTTATCCTTGGGCTGGCCCAAGGATTGTCATCTTTGACAAAAAATCCGTTGTATGTTCACAAAAGACTGTTCATTTTCCAACTCCCTGTTACTACTCCTTTACCTTTACCTGCTCTAAGGATTTACTCAAAATAGCGAAAAATGACAAGACCTGTCAGTCGGGTGTCCCACTTTTAATGCTCACGACTGTACATATTCTAAGCTACGACCGCTGGCGCAAACAGCTGACGACGTAGTTGACGACGTCGTCAATGGTGCCTCAACATAAAGCGAGTTCGGAAATGACATAGCAGATGCGACAGATTTTTTTACACGAGATTTCAAATTGATTTTACATAAGGTAAACACGTGACAACTGTCAAAATTTTCAACGATATGCTTTCGGAGCTATTTTCCGAACGCGGCCATAATGCAAATTTCCATAAAGGCACCGGGTTGGTCTTAACTCCAGGGTAAACGTGTCCAGTCTCTTATGTTTACCCTGGAGTTATGCTTAACCCGGAGGTGACGGTTCTAGAACTTCTAGAACGGTTCAGGACATTCGCACAACAAAATGACAACGGTGCAGCTATCACAAATTTCGATAATAAACTGTGCGATTGTTTTGAACCGTTCTAGAACCGTCCTTTTTGGCTTTTTTCGAAACAAAACAAAGCTATATGTTTTAAACTCGGCTAAAAGTTGAGGTTTGCGGCTGAAATGGCAGACACTAGTTGTATTCCTTTCAAGAGTTTGAAACACTCGAGCTACTCGCTCCGGTGTTCAGGAGCCCCCAATTTGCAGGGAACAGATGCGTGGTGCAACAAACACTTTTCGAAAGGAATAGGGGCGTGAAGCCCCGGAGCTGTTCCGGAGCACCTCCTAGGTGTGAAAGGAATACAACTAATTTCAGCTCAATAAACAGTCCTTTAAGGTAAAGTCGTTGCCGTAAATATAGCTGGTGGGCTCGTTTTACAATAGGAAAAATCGGGTGTCCCACTTTCAATGCTCACGACTGTATATGGCAAAAAAAGGTGTGACGTCAGGTGACCATTGGCATTCTAATGTAAGCTGTCCCCAGGCTCACATTCCTTCAGAGTATCAGAATAAAATAGACGGTCTTTACCTCTTTCAAAACATTCTTGATCCAAACAATTTAAGCATAAAATCTTGAATGAGGGACTATTTTATTAGGTATATATATTTTTTAGGTATTCCCGGCTTGATATCGCGAGGGCGTATCGATGTGTATATCGATCGATAAGCCCTTTTCTATAAATCAAACTAACCTAACCTACAAAAAGACGTCGAGGCAAAAAGTTCAAAAACAAAAATCAAAAAGGTAAAATTTTTAAAATTAAATATCAAATAATTAGGTATAATAAAGTACTCAATAATAATTATTAATAATTGGTATTTTCCCAATAATTAACAAAAATTGTTCCAGTTCGTCATGAGGGTCACACCAAAACAACAATTCAATAAAGTCCTCAACTTTCTTCACAGGGGTTTCGTCTACACTTGCGTCGGAGTAACAATTTGGAGCACTTCGGTCCTAGGATACAGATTCTTCAAATATATGACTGTCACGAGGCCCCAGTATATAGAACAAAGAAAATTAGCCGAGAGAAGTTTACTAGCTGAAGGATCTTCCGAGAATTTAAAAGACATTGCTGCAGACATCATTCAATAACATGAATTATAATAATTTTTAGTAGTTCTTATAGATTGAAGGATTGTTATTGATAATATATTTGTCTCTAATTGATAGCTATTAATAAACCATAATTAGGTATAGATTTTTTTTTTCTTAATTTAAAATTTAAGCAGTATTTTACTTAGTATTAAATATTGTTACACCAACATCATTTGTGCTATCTAAGTATACCTTCAATTTAATTTCAAATAGATAAGAAATTTTCAATTTATAAACTCCCGCTTTAAATTGAACTTATCAAGTCCCCTCGTACTTAGCAGCAGGATTTAGGCAACCACGAACAATCCTGCTGTTTTTAAACAATAATTTTAACTGTAACCCTGTAAGCAGGAATCAAAGATGGCGTTGAAGGTTAATGGTGGGCCTTCTTCCTGAATTTAAAGGTTTTTTTTTTTGGTTTTTATGAAAATTCAATGCAGCAAGATGAGTTCGAGAAGGTGAGTGAATTTTTTAAATAATTACAACAGTTTTTCAAAAAAAAAATATTTAATTGAGCTAGAAAAAAATGTAGTGTTCAATTATTTTGTACAGGGCCGAATGTACAAAGATTTTTCAAGGCCCACCACCAGTGCAATATTATAAATTGCAATGTTTTTTGATTATCGATTTGCCACAGGTGGTTTTGGCCCACTATCAGCGGGATTGATGCCGAGAGGGTGTTGATGGAGAGGGGCGTCGATTGCAGCTTTTTGGCTCGTCCCAGTTCATCTGTTCCCGGAGATTTTACTCTATCTGTTAGGTAAGAATGACTAATTTATTACACAGCTATTTTGCACGACCTATACAATAAACTTTGCATTTTACCTTCCATCATGTTTTTTTATGTTATTGTATTTTATAATAATGTAAAAGTTACATTATGTAGGTACTATGTTGCTTCTATCACTCTCCACTCCTCACTTTACAAAGTACAGCTTCATCAAGTACCTACAGAATCTAATTTCAATGTTTATTTGTGATCTATGTAGTTGTATTTAAATCCTTTTCCTCCTGTTTTTTTTGCATAGGAATTTACTTAAAATAAGGTACATTGGTACATTCTTGTTATTTTTTGCTATTTTGGAAAAATTAGTTAGGCTGTTCATTTGTACTTGCTCTACCTGCTCGAAAATTAGAAAGATCTGAGATCTGCTAGGAGGTGCTATTTATGAGATTATAATATATGGGACAAGTCAACACCCTAAGTAATCAGTCTTTTCTGTACAACAGATTTGTTGTCAAATATGAGAATCCCAAAAATCGGGTGTCTCATTTTTGATGCTTATAATTGTACCTATACTTTTTCTACAGTGTAGTCTCACATGTACAGGGTGTCTCAAATTCGAGGGCCAACATGGGGATATCGGTAATAGATGAAAGTTGCACAATTTTATGCTTAACAAAATACCGTTTTGAAAATTTGAAAATTCCCAATAGCTCCGGAAATATTCGGAATAAACCGAAATTTTACAAAAGCCATTTTATTTTCTTCTGAACTTATTTGAAGAGATATCCCAAAATAAATATTACTTCATCGTTGCCACTTTTTCTCCTCTACAAGATGCTACTATCAAATTTAAAATCTGACGTTTCGTCTTTGGACCATCATCATCAGCTTCATTTTTTTAAATACGGACCCTAATTTTTCATTTTCAATAATAGTTGTATTCCTTTCACACCTAGGAGGAGCTCCAGAACAGCTCCGGGGCTTCACGCGCTTCAAAAAGTTTTTGCTGCACCATGCATCTGTTCCCTGCAAATCGGGGGCTACTAAACACCGGAGCGAGTAGCTTGAGGGTTTCAAACTCTTGAAAGGAATACAACTTTTATAAGCTTATGATGTCCCAAAACCAATGACGTATTGCATTTGTTCGAACAATTTATATTATTTGCACTTTCCATAAGAACTTAATGTGTTAGAGAGAGACAGAGAAGAGAATTTTGGTAGGAAATTACTAAAAAGTAAAAAAATAGTTATTTATTATACAAGGGAAAAAAGTACTAGATTTGTGGTTTGTCAACACAGCGAGGGCTAAAATCTTACTTTTTTCCCATGTATAATACACTATTTTTTTCTGTGACGGGAAAATCTCAACATTTTCCATCTATACATTATTCCCTTTGAGAAAAAAATTTGACTGGTAGCTGTTGCTTTTTTCCCTCGGGAAAAAAAATTGACTGGTAGGTACCTGTTACTTTTTTCCCGTGGGAAAAAAAAATCAGTTTTTTCCCCATGGGAGAAAAAGTGGCATTTTTGCCCCAAAAAGTCTACTTTTTTCCTGTCACAGAAAAAAAAATTTTTTTTTGAATAATTGCAGTACCTATGTCATATGTTTTGGGATATCAAAAGCTCTTAAAATCTGAAATAAAAAATTCAGGGTCATATTTAAAAAAATAAAGTTGATGATGGTGGCCCAAAGACGAAACGTCAAGTGGCATCTTGTAGAGGAGAAAAAGTGGTAACGATAAAGTGAGATACCTCTTCAAATAAGCTTAAAAAAAAATAAAAACGATTTTGTAAAATTTCGGTTTGTTCCGAATATTTTCGGAACTATTCGGAATTTCTCAAATTTTAAAACGGCATTTTCTCTCGTATCTCTAACGGTTACAGACTTACAGATATCCCCATGTTGGCCCTCGAATTTGGAACACCCTGTACAGGGTGAATTTTAGGTATGGAATGTCTATTCAACAAACAAACTTAACTTCTTTTTGTATTTTTCATTGCTATTTTTCATTTTCTTCAACTATGATTATATTTTTCTCCCATTTAAATCTTTTTTTAAACTATTTCTCAAGTTTTTCGATACATTTTTTGTTTATTCCAGGCTCTTGAGTTTTCTCTATGTTTGAAAATTGAAGAGCTTGGAATAAAAATATAGGTGAAAAACTGTCAGAATGTTTAGAAGCATTTTGGAAAGCTTTAGAACAATCCAGAAATTTCAGAACCAATTTAAAAAAACTCCAAAAACTCTCAAAAACCAATTTATATTCCCCAGAAGCACTTTTTAGTGGTTCGAACCATTTTGAAATTTGAAACGCCTCAGAATATGTAGCTTTCAATTTAGAAGGTACTATGGAGTCCATTTAGAAGGCTACAGAACTTCAATAAGCCTTTTGGAAAGTTCAAAACACTGAAAATTTAATTCAGAATTTTCAAAAGCATTCTGTAGCGCTTCAGAAAGTTTTGGAAACCACAGAACGTTCCAAAACATTCATAAACCGATCTAGAACTTCCTGAACCATTTTGGAACAATTTAGAAGTTTGAAACCCATTTTAGGAAGCTCCAAAACAAATACTCTAGAATTTCCAGAAACATTTTGAAAAACGCCAGAATCTTAGAATTCAGTTACCAAACGCCTTTGAGAAGGCTTTTACAAGCAAATTTAAATTGCTATAGAACTTTGGACTTTTACTAAACATCTAAAACAGTTCAAATCCAAATCAGATTAGAAACTTTCAGATCTATTTAAGAACGTTTAGGATTCAATTTAGAGCGTACTGGAAACGTTTTAGAACTCTTTCGAACCAATTCAGAACACTTTGGGGCTTCAATAATAGAGCTCCAAAATACTTTCACAACTCTGGAGTGCGTGACAGAAATCTTGGATCCGTGGTCCGTTTATTCAAAAATCAAAGTCCAATTAACACAAGAATAATTTATTCCACGTTACTAAACACTCTGACACTTATTACTTCACTATACAGGGTGAGTTACTAAGTGCGCGGTCGTCCATATCTCCTATACACGGAGATCGAAGAAAAAACTTAATACAAAACTTGTAGATAAACATGAGTACCTACTACATTCCTAAATTATTTTCCAGTATACAGGGTGGGCCCAATAAGTAGTGGTAGTGGTTATGTTTTTTTGATTGACTCTCCCTGTATATTACGACATTTCTGGATTCTGCGGAAAATTCTAGACATATTTCATGTACAATGTCATATACCTATCTTCAACTGTTTCGAAAATATTGACCATGGAAAATTGATTTTTTTGCATCTTTGACAGACTGTAAAACCTAAACGATTAATTTTAGAGGAAAACCGATTCCACATTCCTGTCTTAGATTTTCATAAGCTATCATTTGACACCAACTTTGAATTTAACCGAAGATTAATAATTTAAGCGGAATTTTGAATCATAGATTAAATTCAAGGTTCTTGTCAAATAATTAGGAAAAACTAAGGCTATGGTCCGAATATAACCAAACGATAACCAAAGTAACCGAATCGGTTGACAGATGGTTACTGAAAATTCCGCAGCCTTATTCTGTAACTTGCGACCGCAGATAATTGCGCAATAGTCGCTGTCAAACACGAGTTTTCTATCATTTTTCTATTCAAAAAAAGCAACTTGCGACCGGTTGCTAGTTGCTATGTAATTGCTGTTTTTAGAGAATAGGCCTGCCGGTTACTTGCGGAATGCGAATATGAAATAAAAAAATAATTGACAGAAATTATGGATAAAACCAACAGAACCGACATCCGATGGCCAGTAATTATTTTGACATTTGGTTAACCAGATTTCAGGAAACCGAGGTCCAAAAGTAACCACTTTTCCAGGAACCAGAGTAATTTGATTACTTTCGGACCGCGAAACCACAAGCCTGGTTATATTCGGACCACAGCCTAAGATAGGAATGTATGATCGGTTTTGCTGTAAAATTGACCTTTTGTTTGGACGCCATATTGCGGTGCGCGAACATAGTTGCCAAAAGAAGAAAACAAAAATTACTAGCGGGCTGTCAACATTAAAAACAAAAGTAACTAAATGATTGATCCTCGCTATCCTTTTTGTTTGTTTACTTTCTCTTTCTGATTCTATAAACAATAAAGCCTAGGACTCATAACCGCGAAATTCGATCTTTTTTGACATTGCTTCGACAATTTGACGTTTTATGCATAAGGGCGAATTCTCATGAGCGTATGTTGACATTTCTGGCGTAATCACATGATAATATGGTGTAATTTGATTGGTAAAATATCCAGCATGGCGAATATTTTACCAATAAAACCCAAACATTTTATCACGTGATTACGCCAAGTATGTCAACCTACGCTCATGAGAACTCGCCCTAAATCTGTGGCATGAATTAAACGTTAAATTGTCGAAGCAATGTCAAAAAAGAGCGAATTTCGCGGTTATGAGTACTAGGTTTAATAAAGGAAACTAAAATTTGGTAAAGGGTAGATATTTTATTATTTCTATTCTGCCCAATGCAAGTTAAAATTGATGGCTGTTCTTTTTAAAAACGATCGTAATAGGCGGCAAATTTAAATTTTAAATGTAATTTATTCAGTAAGTTTTGTTTTTAATGTTGACAGTACGCTAGTGATTTTTTTTCTACTTTTGGCAACTTTTGGCAAATGTTCGCGCACCGCAATACAATGCCGCAATATGGCGTCCAAACAAAAGGTCAATTAACCGTTCAGGTTTTACAATCTGTCAAAGATACAAAAAAGTCAATTTTCAAATGTCAATATTTCCGAAACAGAAGATAAGTATGTGACATTGTACATGAAATGTGTCTAAAATTTTCCGCTGAATCCAGAAATGTCATAATATACAGGAAGAGTCATTAAAAAAAACATAACTTAGTGTTACCACTATCTATTGGGCCACCTTGTATACCTACTGGAAAATAATTCAGGAATGTAGTACCCCTGTTTCTCTACAAGTTTTGTATTTAGTTTTTTTCTTCGATTTCCGTTAACATAGGAGATATGTACCACCGCGCGCTTAGTAACTCACCCTGTATATCCGTAATCTATTCTTGTAAAATCCAGAATAAACGCGATTATCTCTTTGCCCGAATGAGGCAGTATTTTCTAAATTTCAAGTTAGATTCCTCGTTAGATTTTATACACCATGGCAAAAGCGCACGCTACAAAATCTGCTAGACCAATAAGGAAGTTGGTGAAAAACTTTCACTTGGTTTAATAATAGTTATTTATATTACTGGTATGGTATGAGCTTCATTACAGTAACGAGTGGGGAATATTGCCACGACGAGGTAACCACACAAGTGTTATTGTAATAAGCCTTACCGTACGTGTGATATACAACATTTTAGCTACGACCTGCGCAATAGTGACTATTGTCGTTTGTCTATTAAAAATAGGTCTGTTTCTGCAGATACAGACTCAATAACTATTGTGTACTCGATTGTGTGGTTACATTAAAAATAATGACCTCTTACCGCACTAGAGCGATAATGAACCCGTTATGATTCATTACCGAACTAGTACGGTTATAGGGCTCATTACATAACACAAATGAGCAAAAATTAGTGACATAATAGTCACTTATTGTGCAGGTCGTAGATAATAGTTATTTATGTATGAAGAGAATTATGAGGGTGTTAATACCCCAGGCCAAAGTTTGTGTCCCGAGGGCCTTTGGCCCGATGGACACCAATTAATTGCTCGTGGGTATTAATACCTGATATGTAATGCCCGTGGTATATAGATAATTTTATTTCCTGTATTTTGTCCATTTTCATGAAGGAATAAATCATAAACCAAAATTTCTATTCTTTCTCAAAGTTTTACCTATTCAAGGTAAAAGCGAAAGATATGGAAATCCTTAACTCCCGCGCGGGAGTTATGGAATCCTCAATTCCCGCGCGGGAGTTAAGACCCTGTTTATGATTATCGTAACCAAAGGTATTATATGGTTATAAGTTCGGTAGGATATAAAATGACTTATAATTCAGTAGGTATAATTTATGTTTTTTTTTTCTAGGCGTAATGGAGAAGTTACTCACATCAAAATCCAAAATTCGGGCGACTTCTACGATTTGTACGGCGGAGAAAAATTCGCTACCCTTTCCGAGCTGGTGCAGTACTACATGGAAAAACAAGGGCAACTAAAGGAAAAAAATGGCGATGTCATTGAGCTTAAGTATCCAGTGAACTGTGACGGCCCCACTACAGAAAGGTGAGTGATAATCATTTTACATCAACATCAAAGAACAATCTAGTATCTACTAAGAAATATTTACAGCATGGGCAAAAATATTCTTGAGAATTTCCCATAAAAATAAATTAGTATTCCAGCAAAATCTTAACAAATTGCATACAGTTTTGTAATGTTCAATATCTTCAATTTAAAACTGTCAGTTTATTTGAATCGAGTAATTAATCTGTCAGCTGTTTAAGTTTTATCGTGTCGGTGAAAAATAAATTATTCAATTTTCATAATTGGACATTAAAATTTCTAATTCACAACTATTAGATGGCATAGAACATATCCGCGTGGATTAATGAATAGATAAAATTAAGATTTATACTAAAAAAATTAACATTTTAAGCTTCTATATTTGAGTTTGAAAAATTCCAATGGGAAAATACAATATCTTACCAAAACCATTAGCTTAAATAATCAAATAAAGTACATAAACGTATTTAGCATACACACACATTCCATAAATACGTATTTCTTACTACCTACTTAGCAAATAAAACAGTTTAACAACTCCACATTGCTAATTTGTTTATCACCCATCGACTTTATGAGGTGAATATAAATAAATTCTTTGTCCTTAAAAAGTTTACATGTCTGGCGTGACTCAAGTCACGAATTCAATTCCTTATTGGGCACAAAAATAATGTCATTCTTCCTGTCTTAGAGGTTTTATTATATTTATGACTAAAAATCCAAGAAGCTGTTTTAATTATCTTTTTTATTCATTCAATCAACCCATGCGCCACTTGTTCAAATAATATTCGATTAATAAACGATAAATGCATGTCCGGCGAGTCCTTGAATTAACAAAACTTGTCAAGCGGATGGCAAAAATGCAATCGTGGATGAATTATGTTTTTATTGTTACATAATGAATTATCTTCATTCGTATGATTGTATCTGTTCTGTGAAATTATTCTCATTAGTTTTAATGATGGTCAGTTAATCAATCGATGTCAGCCATGGTAGGTCTCTATTTCTTTTACAAGTTTGTTATTTAGGACAATTTGAAACTTTTAACTACATACATACAACACAAAAGTTGTCAATTAGATTAACATTAATTATCATTCGTTGATTTGCATGAGAAGATGCCCCAGCCAATCAACAACCTTTTAATCACATGTCGCGAAAATTTTTCCACTTTATTTATTGACTTGAGTTTAAAATGGACTGCTAATCGCCGATACCAAGCATTCTTTTGGAACTTAATGGAATTTAAATTTCTTGTTGCGATAAAAAACGTCATTTTTATTAGCCTCGATTGGACTTGGATACGATCTTCGGATGGGTAACATTTTTGAGGTCTAAGCTGGTTTCAAGATGTATAATGATTATTTGGTTGCAAACCATTAATGGAAGCATATCTTTCTATTCTAAGTAACTTTTAATAATCCATCAACTAAAAATTACTTCCGTCTGCATCTTTTTTTTTATAACATCCGACACTTCCGTTCCGACAAATTAATGACAAATCGGAACGAGCCCCTTTAAAATTGTGATCGCGCCATCCATTCTTGATCAACTTTTAAAAGGATGTGAGTAATGAGCCTCATATCACGTGCCTTTATTGTCTTATTGTGTCTTTATTTTTTTTAATACTAAATGGTGTGTAAATGGCATTTATAAGAGACTCAAGATTTTATACCTAATCTGATTCGTTTAAACGCTTTTCAAAAAAGGCACTCAGAAGATTCTGCTCCCGCCCAATAGAAAAAAAGTTATGACCTTTCATAGTTTTCCAAAATCTAAATAATAAGCTACCTTCTTACTAAAACGATGAAATTTCAAAATTTTTTTTGTTGAGATTTTGTGTCCTAATGATCCCTCGTGATCCCCTGAACTTCATTAACTGAATTATTCCGAGATTTGGAGCCGAATTCTATGAAAAAAGGCACTCAGAAGATTTTGCTCCCGCCAAATACCCGCGGATTTCCTTAACACGATTTTTTTTCGGAATCTATAGGTCCAATTGAGCTAAAATTTCCAGGGATTGTAGCCCGCCAGTGGGATAAGAATCGCTGAAAATTTCAACTTTCTATCTTCAATAGAAAAAAAGTTATGACCTTTCAAAGTTTTCCAAAATCTAAATCATAAGGTACCTTCTTACTAAAACGATGAAATTTCAAAATTTTTTTTGTTGAGATTTTGTGTCCTAATGATCCCTCGTGATCCCCTGAACTTCATTAACTGAATTATTCCGAGATTTGGAGCCGAATTCTATGAAAAAAGGCACTCAGAAGATTTTGCTCCCGCCAAATACCCGCGGATTTCCTTAACGCGATTTTTTTTCGGAATCTATAGGTCCAATTGAGCTGAAATTTTCAGGGATTGTAGCCCGCCAGTGGGATAAGAATCGCTGAAAATTTCAACTTTCTATCTTTAATACACACCGGGTTTTGCGTGGTTTTTGCCATATGCTTCTTCCCCTTGCTCCTCATACGGAAAATGTCGGATTAAGAACGACGGACAATATGATCTTCGTGATTTTTGGAATAAATTATAATTATGTCATCAAGATAAACCAAGGTGAAATTATGTAGAAAACCTGTCAGAACTTGCTGCGACATAAGCTTTTGGAAACTGCTAGGGGCATTTTTAAATCCAAATGGCATTACTGTAAATTGATACCTAATGCCCTCCATCTGATGTTGAAAATATTGTTAAACCTCAGTGTTAAACGTTTAGACCTTCTTGATAAGCTCGCCTGCCAATATCCACTTTTTAGATCCAATATGATGTAAAAACCGACGCAGATCCCAATTTCTCTAGTGTTTCATGAATTTTAGGTAATCTTACAGGTTCTTCTTTTGTTACCTCATTCAATCTGCGATAATCAACACAGAGTCTTGGCTTTTTTCCGATTTGTTCGATTATTATGGGAGATGAGGAATGGGGTGAAACAGAAGGTTCAGTAACACCAGTAGCCAACATTTCACTGACTTGTTCATTAAAAATAAGTTTTTTATGTTCAGTTGAGGAATATGGTTTCGTTTTGACCACTCTATTTGACTTTAGTCTTATGTCATGTTCAATATTTCGTGTTATTGGTCGTTTCAATAGTTTCAATGATTCATCAAAAAGATAAGAAAATTCTGTTAGCAGTTTCTGATAATTATTTTGAAGCTTTGTATCTAAATGAGTTAAATCAAATTCGGGAACGCTTTGTATAAATGATTTTGAAAAGATGAAGAAAGGTAAATAGTACCTAAGTCTGATACTTGTACCAATATGTATACAAATCGAATAATATCCAAAACAGCTTGTTGTTCTAAAAACCAAGGTAAACTTAATATGAAGTCTTCTGGTAAATTAGGTACCACAAGAAAATTCGACTCCAATATCATGTCCAGAAGCAAATATTTAATCTTGAAAGAACCATGAATGTCAATTTCGACAGGACCACATCCAAAATGAATTGTTCTTATTGTTACTGCTAGAAGGAATTTAGCGGAAACTAAATTACTTAAAATGCTGGCTCCTAGGCTCCTGTGTCGACAACGGCATTAATCTGAAAAGTATTTATTGATATAGGAATTTTTGGAGAATCTATTGGTTTCCCTACTGAATAATTTTTTAGGGTTGGTCTACCGCAGGTTTGCGACTTCCCCTGTTGGCGTTTCCCTGTCGATAGTAAGTTGAGTTTATTATGAAAATGCCAATCACCACAAAATTTACAAACACTAGGTGGTCCTTTCGATCCAGCATTTCTGTCATTTGTAGAATTAATTTCAGTAATTTTTCTATTTGCATTGAACGTATCTTGCATCTGCTCTTTCTGCAAATCATTCTCTATGGCTGTAACTATGTGTGAGAGCTGTTGTATATTATTGAAATACAAACCTTGAATTCTAGAATGAATATTTGGCAGGAATTGTTCTACCAGTAAGTTGATCAATTGTTCTTCAGGCGAATCTGGAAAAAGACTGTAAAAGAGACCCTGTTTCCTGGCAATGAAAACAGAACACATTTCAGATTCTTCTTGATTTTTGCCATAATATTGTGAAGTTAATTTTGTTACAGTGGCAGTACTATTAAATTTTTGTATAAATAAAGTCTTAAACATTTCCCAAGTGAGTGTAAGTTGGCGATAAGGCTGAAACCATTGTGCAGCTTGGCATTTGATTGTGCCTGCTGCAAAATCAACTTTGTCAGAACTCCGAGTTTGCTCTTTATTGAAGATTGATTCCATTTTTAGGATGTAAGCTAATGGTTCTTCAGTATCATTCTCATAAAATGAAGGATTGGGTTTATCTTTAATGTTAATAGCAGAAGCAATTATTGTCTGTACCGCAGACAAAAAGGCATTTTTCATTTCTGTAAAATGAGTTTCCTCTCTTCCTATAACGGAGTTGACTGTATTTTGACCGCATTTGCAAAACAATCAGTATTTGTATCGTTTGATTAGTCAAAAAATGGGTTAAGTGACCGGTGTTGTGATGAAAACTTATAGTCTAGGAGGCAGTGACGATTTTGGGCACTTATTTTCCCAGTCAGACAACATGGATACTCATATATTTTTAGTGGGGGTTTTCCGATGGGTTGAGGCGCAAAATACGTTAGAGCTTACGGAACATAAGGAAAAATTCACTCTTCTAAGAAAAGCCCTCAAACTCAAATATACAAAATAAGGCATGTAAAAAACAAAATTTCAGCAAAACTCAAGTTTTCTTTTAAGATGGAATCAAAACAACTGAATGCAATAATAATCTGAACTCAAATTCTGCATCTTCAAATGTAAACAGTCGATAAATGACTCGTTTCATGTGTATGTAGGTGGTTCTTTGTCGTAATGCCACATTTCTCTGAAGATTAAAGTCAGAATACGTGGGCCCCATTTCACGCTAACTATAGTTGATTTTCGCCTAAATATGGGTGACTAAGAAACAGAATTCTCATATAACTGCATTTGGTGGGCAGGATCAATACTAGATGACCCCTATGTTGGGGTATATTTATTTAGGAAACGATGTATTTATTGGCACTCCCAACAAGTCATAAAGTAGGATTACTCATATTTTTTTTTTTACACAAACAAGCTAAACCTTGAAGCTATTTACTCACTAAATCTCGACCATCAGTTCACGCATTACAGGATAAAGCTTTTAGAAGATTACTTCATGTTGATGTGTTAGTCATATTAATACCATACGAATAGTTTTTTGATTGGACAAAAATTCATTGTGATTTGCTAGAACAATACCCTATTCAGCTGAACAAAAAAAGCTTAAAACAATAGCATAAGCTGGAACATTGGAGTGTAGAAAATGTTAATAAAACGTGATAATTTAGGTAATAGGTAACTTTGTGAATTTACGCATAACAACTAAACAGGAACTTTAGCCCCAAAGAAGCGTCAACACAAATTACCATCAAGCAAGGTTCTTAGCAAAAATTAATAGGAAATAACATAAATTTGACGCACTGAATATTAAAATGGATTTGTTTTTCTCATTGAAATATGACAAGAATGTTAATAAAAATCATGCTTATAGGGATGTTTTACTATTGTATGGTAATTTGCGGACACTGTAAGGTGAATGTAGATCACACGTTCGTGCAAGGGCGCGGAAATCAGGAAGTAGAAATGTTTAATTACAACAAAATACTAGAAAAAGTACCTACACATTTGGATTATAATATTCACACAGAGACATTTCAAGAGAAACTGTGTCTTACAGCTATAGTGTTATGTCTCAAAACAAATAAAAAAACCTAAGTCATAACTTCCTGTGGCTAACAAATACACGCAAAACCCCTGAATTCCTGACCTTATCCTTGAAATAACGCGCAAATTGTAAAATCAGAGCGTGTCCATCTTCGTTTATTATTATAAAAAAAAATCATCAACGTGGTACCGGCCTCCCCACTATCCGCGAAGATTAAAAACAAACATTAATTGAAAGGACCCGACGAAGTGCAACCGGGATAGTCGATTTTTAGCGGCAAAACGGATCGGTCGCGATTTAAAAAAAAAGTCTACATTATTTTCTGCTTTCGTAGCGGATAGTAATTGTACGAGTTTTCTGGGCTATAGAAGTACCGAATAGTGCCCTGGGCGACTTAGTTTAGTACTCTCACACGATGAGATTTACTAGGAATTCGACGCACGGTGCAGATAGTACTTCGATTATTGCCACAGTACCTACCGCTGTTATCATTTCTACTGCTTTGAATGAGTTTAGGAAAGCGTTTGTTTATTTTAGTTATAAGTAAGTACCAACCATTTACTCACCCAATATTTATTTGAAACATTTTCGTTCATGTTATAGGCATTATCAAATTAAAATTTCACTGTTGTATCTTTTATTACCAATTTGGGACCCAAAAGTAGATCAGATTCAAATATCTAATATCAAAAAAATACCAAATTTCGATGAAATATTCTATTGATACCCAAAAAATCGCAATATTTTTGCATAAAGTCTTTTTTTTTTGAATTACCCTGTATATCTCTACTCATATTAAAGTAGAATTTATATTTGATCAATAACATAATATCACCTCTTTCAACAATTAAGGCAAAACCTGAGTAAAACTTAATACCTCTCTAATTAAAATTTTAGCCCTTGGTCATGAGGCAAAAACTTCCCATATTTTTAACATTTTTCTGTGAATATTACCCTTATTATCAATTCCTCTACAATCTACACACACTTTTGTCGATTCTCTATGAGCTCTACATTGAAATTAACATCTCTACAATAATCTAGATTAGTATTCTATAAAATCTACACTACATTATTCTAGATATTCTGTAGATGCAATATTAAGAATAACCGTTACTAAATTTTGATACAAATTTGATTTGAATCCTTGAACTCCTCATCCCAATAAGAAAATCAAAAAAAAAAAAACTTAGCATCTCTTTGTATTTTTATTTATTATTTTTTTTTGTTTTCCCATTTCAATCCTTTTTTTTTTCAATATTTTTATACTTTTCTCAACTCCTTACTCTAGGTCTTTGGTTTTTTTTTTTGCATTTCTTATTCATTATTCTAATTCTTCGTTTATTACAGGCTCTTGATTTTTCTTTATGCTTTTGTTCAGCACTCATTCGAAAACTTGTATAAGTAATTTCAACAATATGGATAACAATCACTAAAACAAGACCCAGTTATGGAATGAGAGTCTAAAAAAAGGGGAAAATTGGAATCTAGCAATCTTATCCCTCGATTAAATTTTCCTCATTTATTTCAGGGTTTAAAAAACAACCTGCACAAGTAAGTGTGGGTTCAAATGCGAAAAAAGTATTGATAAGTAGTTGTCAGGGTCTAATGGTGATAATTTAAGGTCGCCAAGACAAGTCTTACAATCCTTAAAATGTAAAATTCAGTCTCACGCGGTACTACGAAACTGTTACACACTTATACAATGGTTTTATGTATCTTATGGCTTATCCAACAGTAAGTAAATTCATGAGAATTTTTATAAAAGATGAGATCACCCCCCTGTACATTCTCACATTATTAACAATCAAATTAGAGCATATTGTGTGGGATTAAAATAATTATCGGGCAAAACAATAACAGAGGTTGCATTAATATAAATAAGTAATTTGAATTAGAAGATGGGTATGGAACGTGGGAGATCAAAATCATAATAATATACATAATATTTTTGTGCTCATAAATATTGTAACGATCATGGGCGAGATTTTATTAAAATTTAACAAATTTCCTTGATCCTGTAATATCAAGGAATTTAAAACCCATTTGGGAAATCCTCATATACCTATTTTTAAGTAATTCAGATTTATTGTTCAATTATTATTGTCTTGACCTCTAAAACTCCTTTTGTGATTTATTAACGGCGCAGTTATTACATGGACACACTTGTAGAATAAGAAAAATAGGTATCTGATTTTTTATCGGATTATTATTCTCTAGCTATATGTCATCGCTTTAATAACTAATTATATTGGGTTGTTTGTTTTTTACAAATGGTTCTGGTTTCAATACTAACTGGAATTGTACACCCATCAAACATCAAATAAGTACCTACCTATGTAAGATTTTCTATATTTTTGGATTTCTGATTCAAGTTTGTAGAAAGTGAACACTTATAGTACTTCGAGTAAATTTAAATTTTGTCTAGTGAAATAGATTCACAACAAAAAGCTTTTGAAACTGACTGTAACTTACAAACTACACGCTAGAAGTTTCTCTGGAATTTTCGTTAATTCTTGTTGCTTTTAACCTTCCATTAGCAATGGCGGTCGTGACTATTTCAAGTGAGGAGGCTAAAAGATTTTCAGTAATTTTGGGTAGATCTTACGAGTTTTTCTGGGATTTTGACCAACTTGTATACAAATTTTCATCAATTAACCGCTCGAAGTTTAGTTAACTCCATAAGATGTGTACATAATTGAATCTATTGATTTTGTAAGATTTTGAGGATTTTTAAAAAACTTCACGTAATCTTAAAAGATTTTAGATTTATGAGATTTTAGGTGTTTTGATCATTTTAGTGAATTTAGAAACGGTTTTTGTGGCGTTTTTACCAACTAATTTAGGGGAGCCTTAACGATAAATGTTCCATTGGAATTCTGCGAAAATTTTTGTTAATTCCATAGAAATTCCTCGGAATTTCACTAGAAGATTTTATGGAAATCCTCGAAATTCCATTCAAATGACAAATTTGAATAGAAAAACAGAAAGTTCTGGAAATTTTATCATAAGATTTCATAATACTTTTCCGAATTCCACGATAAAATTCAATGGAATTCTTGTACATAAATTCCTCGGAATTATAGTAGAAGATTTCATGAAATTTCGACAGGACAGAATTTCAGGTTATTTCGCAAATATTTTAATTTCATTCCAAACTGTTACTTATCTTATTTCATAAGTGTATCAGTATAAACTGAAAAACTTTATGAATTTTGAGCCAATTGCGAGGGATTTTTGGGTTTACGGAATGATTTCTGAAAGATTCCGAAGGGATTTCGGAGTGATTTCGTGGATTTCGGACAAATTTGTGACACGATTTTGGGGAGTGATTAACCTCTCGAAGATTTGATCAAAGTTCTTTGGAATTCCATTAAAATTTTGAGTTATTCCATAGGAATTCCGCGAAAATTTTAAGTAATTCCATAGAAATACCTTAACATTTCATAAGAAGATTTTATGGAATTCTTGGACAAATTTTTTTCGGAATTACAGTATAGGATTTCATGAAATTCCTCGAAATTCAATTTCAAAATTCCATATTTTTTTTTTTTATCTTTACTAAAATATCCTGGAATTCCACAAAATTTTCATAAAATTTTTCGGAATTTCATTGACATTTCATGTAATTTCTTAAAAATTCCTCGGAATTCACTAAAATTTTATAAGAATATCCACGTTCATAGCCGAAAATTTCTCGAAAGTCCAATGACTTCAAGGAATTTTTCAAAATTTAATTTATTTTCATAAGGATTTTTCGGAATTTTACTGAAATTCTCTTTTAATAGCCAGGAATTTCTGGGAATATTAATGAAATTTCAAGTAATTTCTCAAAAATTCACCAAAATATATTGAAATTTCATGTTATTACTTGGGAATTTTTCGGAATATCACCGAAATTCTATGTTTTTAGCTGGAAATTCCTCGGCATTACTAAAATTCAGTAAAAACTGAAATTTCCTATTGGGAATTTCGGTGTAATTTCATGTAATTGTTTAAAATTCCTCCATGTAATTCATTTAGGATTTCGTGTAATTCGATCGGTATTTCACTGAAATTTCAAGTAATTCGAGAGAAATTAAAATTTAATGTGAATTTTATGGAAACTCCGCAAAAATTTAACATCTAATTCCTTTTTCAGAATAACATAATTATTCTACCGAAATTCCATTAAATAGGGAACTTGCACATCAAATTAAATATGGAATAAATAACAAAACACAATAACAATCATCCTAATAAATGATGCAATTAGGAAAAAAAATTAATATCTTATCTCTGGTGTCCAAAATCTTCAATTGAAAATACCAAATAATTCGAAATTCATGACGCGATCAAAAACGTATTTCTATGGGTCGTGACGTCACAAGGCAGTAATAATCGGGTCGCACCGCTGCCGCGTCATGTGCTGCTGGTATCGCCAATGTCAAATCTATCAAAAACTGCATACATAACAACATAACCATAATCTTAATCTACCTGCTTGAAGTTCGAAGTGTTCGACACTGTGATCGGAATTTTGTTGCCGAGTGACGTCACACTGATCGGTCGTTTCAAATGGCGATGTTTCGAGCGTAACTTCAAATATTTATAAAAAATTAACGGCTGATTTTTAATGCCTGATATTTGGCATGACTATGTCTTTAGTGAAGTAGAACACATTTTTGAATTTAAAAAAAAATTTGCAAGTTCCCTATTATGGAATTCTGAAACTTTAACAGATTTTTGGGGATTCCAAAGGATATTTGGGAATTTTGAAGGAAATATTTTTCAGAAATGTCAATGATTGCGTTTGAAATTACCTATAAATCTAGATTTGATAAAAACATATGGCAACGCTGCTCATGATACAACAAACGTCAAAAAATTGAAATTTCAAAGTAGACCTTGGTTTTTTTGACAATCGATACAAAATGACGTCTTTTTGTTTCAAAGATTACGGCCCGAAGGGCCGGAGTATTAAAATCAGTTAACAATGAACGGGTTCGTTCGGATAAAACTTTTGTCGCATGACACTTTGGCAATATCGACAGATGTCACCTGTCAAATTTGACACATGTTCGACTTTTTCCCCGCTCTACTATAAAAGCTACGAAAATCAAACCCCGGTACAAGGCAGTTTCACGACGCCAACTATCGATTTGTGTCAAAAAAAATTGACAGCTGTCAACGTCAAAAAAGTTTTTTATTTTTTATTTTGCGAATTTCGGGAAAAAAAAGTGGTGGAAAACAATCCCCGGACCCCAAAAACCTTAAATAAAAATCCAAAAAAAAAACAACGAAAATGACATTCCAAAACCTACTTGATAAAACTAAAGTTTTTCTCACTTACACCGTTAAAACACTGGAAATTTTTGGTGGAAAATGAAGAAAACTCAAAGCCTCGTACTTTAAATCAGTTTTCCCGACTGAAAAAGCCCCGGTAAAGTGAAAATTCGAAGAAAAACTGAATAAAAATGTAAATACGTTAATTGAAAATGGCCTACTGTCAAAAATGCTTCCTTGATTGAAATTAGCCACAAGCGGTGTTGCCACATCAAAAG